CGTCAATGGCGTATTTTTGATATTCCGCCTTGTGATCCTTGACAATTCTTAATAATTGTACTTTCAGCATTGCTTCTTCAAAGTTGATATTTTTCGAGCGGAGCCAATTTTGAACATCAACTTTCCTTGAAGCCGTTGTTGGGAACTTCTCCATTCTTCGAGAATGATAAGGCGCATTATCCAACACAATTACTGCGTTTTCCTCTAAGTTCGGTAAAATTTTTGAAAACCACTGTTCAAACGATTCGCCATTCATTTCCTCGTGGTAATCTCCAGTTTTCTTAGACTCAAAGCACCACAGACCGTCAACAACAAATCCATCCTCACTGCCAATATGGCAGATAATGAGCCTTTTCCCTTTACCTGGAAATCGAAGTACTAACTGGTGTAGATTTATTTCAATAAGCGAACCTTTTTCAAATGTTTTCATCACATTCAGCGAAAAAACATTGAGACATGAGTATCACATTGCTATAATTGGGATTATTTAGTCATATTGAAAGAAAGAATATTGAACGTCGTATGATTACTCAGCGCTTCACAATTTAATTTAAAGTTATAAACCTTTAAAAAATGAATGATCAGGAACCTGAAATACGCGCAAATATTAATATTAACAAATTATAACTTTATAAAGCTTAAAGTATGAATTAAAATGATTAGAAATATTAGGAACGGTACACAATATAAAACTTAGTAACTTTTTTTAAGTTTATAATATTCGACATATTTTAAGATTATATTAAAAAATTATTGAAATATCGAAAACACATAAAAACATGGCTTAAAAAAGTTCTAACAAATGAAAATGACGATAAAACATCCACGCATTTTATCGAAAGTTATAAAAGTTTTGTTACTTGTAATATGTTTTATCTGCCCCCTGGAATTAATGTTTAGAACCTTGTTCCCAAGGTTTGAAAAACATCCGATTGTTGTCTATTACTCGTATTTACCTGCTGGATTTTTTAATCCGGTGGACAGTCCATCTAGAAAGGCCCTCCTGGATGAAGTTACAGAATCATCAACCCATACTTTACTTATAGTGTGTCCTGCGTTTACCCACGTTTCATCAAGGTAATAAATCTTCCTGTTTTGATTTCTATATTTCCCAATTTTTGTTAAATAATCCCTCTTCCATAGCACAATTTCTTCTCTATCCAGTAGTAAACTATTACGACCCCGTTTTTTCCATTTGAAATTTAAATGCTTCAGTAACGCATGGAAAGTTGATCGTTTGAAATTTGGCAACGTTGTATCTCCATGTACCTCCTGCAGTACTTTATCTATAGTAGGTATATCATTCCTAAAGAAGAATTCATGCACTTTCCTCCTAATCGCATGCTTATCAGCTTCATCCAATGATTTAACAATACTTTTGCGATGTTTACTGGTCATTGGCTCAGAAAAGGTGTGATTTTTTTTGTATTGTCTTAACACATTAAACACTGATGCGCGACACACCCCAACTTTGTGAGAAACCTTCACAACAATTTCTTTGATGGTTGATGCCTCGTTCTCCTCGCGCTCGATCTTATATATATTCAAAATGACCTCTTTCATTTCTGCACTCAGGTGTCTTTTTTTAGAGCGTTTCCTAGGTGGACTACAGGAGTTTACAACTTCATCGGCAGTATCTGTACTACTGGGCATTTTGGGCAAGCAGTTGATAACAATAACAATCAATAACAAGGTATAACAATAACAACGACAAACTCAACAACTTAATAAGATAACAAATGAAAACGTCCAAAGAAATATCAAATTGCAATGATGCACACGACATACGTAACACGTCTGAACCTGAATGTGACCCTGCCTTGATACGACTGCTCTGCCGCTCGGCATAGGCATTTAATTGCGAATTGACCAATGAGGGCTCCTGTTTTACGTCAAGACGGCGGCGTTAGCGTGAAAATCACCCGAACCTTTTGTTTACATCCGGTCTATCTCTTATCTGAATATACTGTAGTGAGGAAACGTGGAATGACTGTTTGCGCCCTAAAAACTACCTAGTCTGCAAGTTGGCAGCTTAGGCTTTTTTTGACGTTTTATAGGTTTTGTACATGATACCCGTGCCTATGAGAGCTTGGGAGGTACTTGTTAGTCAAGCTACAGTACTGTGTTTTGGAAGCATTATACTGTACAGGATTGTTGCATACCCAAGAAGTGATAAACTCCATGTCCAGTCTTCGTATCTCAAACTCAGCGGCAGAGATCGGCTTGTCGCTGCGAATTCCTACATGTAGAGTGCTGTCATCGAAGTGATCGTAGAGGAAAGGAGGTGATACGCAAAAACCGATCCCTGGGGAACATCCGCGTTGACATTGAGGAATGAAAAAGAGAACCCGTCAACGTCTTACGCCTAGAACGGAAGTTACCCATCTGCAAAGCTCGTCTGCGCGGCCATAGGATGGAAATTTGGATAAAAATTGAGTGAAAAAACATTTCGTGGTGCCTGGGACCCTAGACTATCACCATTTTAATTGTTGTCGAACTGGTATACATAGACAATAGTCGTTTGGCATAACAATGGCACTCTGATTGCTGTTTAGGGTACGCCTAACAGTACTTTTCGCGAGCAAATTGTTCGCGGCATGTGTGGGTTTGAATTTCGGTGTGCACCGCCCTCGATCATCTTTATGATCTATCTGATGTCGAAATTGTTGTGAATAAATAAATAGAAATATTTATTGGACAGCGAACGGGACGGTTCAGTGACTGATTAATCAAATTGATAAATTGACACTGTGGATCAAACAGACAATCTAATAAAAAACCTTTTAGGTCCGTACAAAAAATAGCTGTGCTCTTATCATGCGTTAAAAGCTAGACATTTGCATCTTATAATTTCATTCGATATATCTTTCTTGAGGGTTCAGACTTCCTTGAAAACAATGGATCTCTTTTTGGAAACAGTGAAACATTGACGCTTCCTTGAGGAACATTCAAGGGGGGATTTAAATTTTCATTTCGTAGTATTCTGCAACAGTTGTCATCACAAGCTGTCATCGATATCAGAAAGTTTCTGCTGGCCGTATCTATCTAGCATTTTGATGCTAAAATTGGGGTGGTTTGGTTTATTTGTGCTAAATACAACAATAAGCAATGCAAAATAATGCGTTTGCTTCCTCAAATTACAGAGCATTTAAGAAACTGAATATATGCAACCAGTTGTACCGAGCTGCTCTGCTGCTATTAACGTACTATATGTTCGCAAAAAGCGCTGGCTTCAATTTTAACAAACACAACACAATATCAAGTTGCCTTTGGAAACAAACGTTTGTTTGCTTACTTTATTGCAGCGTTGCCAGACGTACCTTAATTATCGTTTCTGAACGATAATTTCAAGTACTGTACGATGTACGATAGTATGTGTAGGATAATAGCTGAATGTACGATAATTTTGCGAATGAGCTTTTTTACTCACAGATGTTGAATCAATCTAACAACTATAATCAAATCCAAGCGAATAACCAAAATTTCTGTGTTATGTGCCGCGGTTATAATATGGTTCAAGATGACACACGGGTTGATGACGTCAGTTACACGAATCGCTTGAACGCGTTGGTTTTAACCGCGGTTTTGTTGCAAGTTGTTTATTTTAGAAAAGCGCGTATATAATCTCTGATTATTTTTATTATCACTTAATAATAGGTGCTTTTTCATCTAAAACTGTGTATGGAAAGTTTAAATAAGAAACCTTTCATAATATTCATGGGAGAATTGTTTTTTCAGATTTTTTTTTAATGATGGAACCATGGCTTTGTAGCTATGATAACTTTCAATTCTCTGATTTTTTCCGCATGTCAAAGAAAACATTTATTGATTCAGCAGAAATGATGAAAAAAGAAATTAGCAAAACCGTATACAGGTGGATATCATCTAGTGAGTTTATATGGCCATATTTTAATATTCTTGTGGTATATGGCTACACAGGATACTTTGTTAAGCATAGGAACAACATTTAAAGTGTCCCCAACAACCGTAATGAGTATAACTAATAAGGTGCTCCACTTTATGGTAAAACTGAGGTCAGCCTGTATAATTTTTCTCAAAAATGAAGCTGAAGTACAATAACAATATCCAATACCCGGCAAAATTCAAACTTGTCACATTTCAAATACTAACCAGAAATATAAAACTACTCTTGAGTTGGGTAAATACCACAATTTTGCGGTGATAACTATGACATATAACAGCTGATTCGTGACGTCACGGATCTTATAACCAAACTGATAACTACACTCGCTTGAACGGATTGGTAAATACCAACCCAAAATGGTAAATACCATTTCCATTTGGTTATCCGCTTGAATTTGATATATGTTCAATTAACACCAGCAAGCAGCTGTCAGTGTTGCCGCTTGGTAGACAAGCGCGCGTACCTTACTCTGTATAATCGGTTGCCTAGCATTATGCGGACTATCTCGGCAAACATCAACGGGAAAAATTGCCCCCCCCCCCGAGACGGAAATTTCCTTCATCATAAATCCTGAGAGAACCTAAGCAGTAGGATGATGTACGATAATTTTGACGTGTTTGTACGATAATTCCCTGCGACGAATCTGGCAACGCCGCTGCCCTACTGTCAGTTGACATTTATTTACACAATGCGTTAGCTCTCAATTGGGTATATTCTCTATGTTTATGCTCCAGAATCATCTTTTGTTGCTGTCTTTTTTTACATTGTTTTTTAATGGTTCAATAAACATTATTATTATTACCATTATTCATTATTATTACTCATTTATGGAATTAGGAGATCTTGAAGCCAACCCGACAAACAAGCAACGGTTGGTTGAGAAACGGTTTTAGAGTGCTTTGAAACTTGGCAACTCTCTTTTTCTCTCAAGAAACAGATAGGGAAATGCGCTTCGACGAGGAAGCTCTAAGTGTGCATTGTTTCGTGATATACTGAGCTAATTACTCTATCAAAGCGTCGAGCAATTCGCCTAGCTATGTGTCTGGTAAACTCGCGAGAAAATACGCGTTCTTACCGAATATGGCCGGAGGATCGTTAGTCCCGGAAAGGTAACTCGTCCGGTGCTTGAGACGACATACTTCCGGAACCCGCAGAGAATTTCTGATCATGGTCATGTTGACGGTGAAAAAATAGCATAAATCGCTTTTATCTGTAAATCCACATTCTCCTTTTATTTGAGGGAAAGCTTTTGTTGGCACTAGATTAATGTAAAAAACTAGCATTGTAGCTTCGTCGTTCATCCGACCACAAATGGCGAACCACGGACGACTGTTTTGTGCTAGTTGGCATATATTACTAGCTCAATAGCAAGTAGATATTTACTGTATGGCCGCAATCGACGGCATTTAGCAGTCACAGGGTTATTCCGTAAGGAAGAAGAATGTTATTTGATTGGTTTTTGGCCGCGTAATGTATTTTTTTTTCAATATTACATACTCGTACAGTACATATGAAAGAGGCCCTAATATAGATCCTTGGGGAACTCCCTTATAAATATATATCAACGCATGAAGATCCCACTTGCTTTATCTCTGTAACGTAATTGTGTAATAAAGAAACATATTGTGACATGTTTTCCAAAACAGTACTGCCAGTAATTCCGTAACCATGTAGTTTTTTTTAACAATGTGTCATGATTCCCAGTCCTACTATAACCCGGCGAATAGACAGTGCAAAGTTTATTCCCAGAAGTCGACGTCAAGCCGAAACCGGGTGATAGGCAAAGTCATAACAGCTATCAGGAAAATATTTAAAAAAATTTTATGTATGTGTTTTGAAAATTATAGGTCTTTGAAAAAAATATAGAAATTTCACACCCTACGGCAGTCTGTCAACTCCTGTTACTACAAATATTAACTTTTTTTGGATTCTATTTTTACAATGTAATGATGAATAATGCATCTTCAAACTGGTGTCTCAACCTTACTGCCAACTTTTCTCGTTCAGGAAAAATTGCCACTTATTTCCCAACCAAGTATTCCAAAGTAAAACTTTGCTCAACTTTAACTGGCTGTACTGGAAAAAAATGTACTACGAGAGTTTGGCAAGTAACCTTAAAAGTTGGCGCATTTAATAAGGATTCCAAAATGGTATAACACTTAGAAGATTACTCGTTAACTTATGCACAATTTTTATTTGAAGAAAAACTGATGAAAATTTTTCAAAATTTCCTAATTAAACAGCGATTATGAAAACGCACAAGGACCCTTAAGGATAACTGTTTGCACAACACTGGGCGTCAAAATGCTGCTGATGATGATTTACCTTTACAGCAAATGCTCAAACTGTTTTCCTTCAGCCGCAATACACGCTCGACATCTTCTTAAAAAAGATCGGGTTATTAAACGAGCGAATCCACGGTTATTAACAAACTCAGCTGCTTCCAATAGTCTTTGCCGTAGCTCAGCTACATTTTGAATCGGCTTGAAATACACTTTTTCTTTTAGAGTTCCCCAGTAAAAAAAATCTAACGGATTCAAATCTGGTGACCGGGCTGGCCACGGTATTGTACCAGACCGCCCTATCCATCTGCCTGGAAAGTTTTGATCGGGATACTCTCTCACTGAGAGTGCATAGTGCGCTGGGCAGCCATCATGCTGAAACCACATGTCCCTGTAAATACTCAGTGGCACGTCCTCCAATAAATTTTCTAAATGATTTTGCAAAAAACCTAAATAAACCTCAGCAGTCAAAGTCTCTGGGAACTCAAACGGACCGATTATTTTACCATTTAAAATTCCTGTCCAATGGTTTATCTTGAAGCAATATTGAGATTTATCTTCTCTCATCAAATGTGGGTTTGCTACGTGCGACTCGTGTAAGTTATGCAGGTTCATGTGCCCATCTTTCTTAAATGTGGTCTCATCTGACCAGAAAATTTTTTCAAAGAACCGTGGATCTTCCCTGTGTCTTTCTAACATTGTGCGACAAAAAGCAACTCGGGGCTCATATTCCCGGGGCAGAAGAGCTTGAACACGCTGTACGTGGTATGGATGGAGCACGTTTTTTTGCAAGATTCTATGGGCTGTACTTTTGGGCACACCTGTTTTTAGTTCTATTGCACGCACTGAGGTACTCGGGTCTTCTTCGACAGCTCCTAGCACCACGTCTTCGTAAGGAAGGAAAGATCTTCCCTCACCGTGTGATTGGTTTGGTAGTTGGCCCTCTGAGAACAGTAAGCGGTGCACACTTGTGAACACTCGATGATCTGGATGACGAGCTGCATTCGGGTACCTCTCACAGTAAAGTCTCGCTGCAGCATTAGCGTTGCATCTGCATTCCCCATAAATGAGGTGCATGTTAGCATATTCTTGTACGGTGTACACGGACATAGGGGCACTGCACAATGACACTATCAAAGATAGTCTAAGGAAAGCAAATGTTGTTTTGAAGAGCAATTAAACAGTCCAAATCCAAATCACAAGCGATCAATAGTCCAGTAAAGATGCGCAGTAAATGAAGGAGTACTGATTGGTATCAAAGTGGGCAATAGCAAGTAAGTGATGTGCTTCATCCATACCACATACAGCGTGTCCAACCTCTCCTGCCCCGGGATTATGAGCCCCGAGTTGCTTTTTGTCGCACAATGTTAGAAAGACACAGAAAAGATCCACAGTTCTTTGAAAAAATTTTATGGTCGGATGAGACCACATTTAAGAAAGATGGGTACATGAACCTGCATAACTTACACGATTGGCACGTAGCAAACCCACATTTGATGAGAGAAGATAAATCTCAATATCGCTTCAAGATAAACCATTGGACAGGAATTTTAAATGGTAAAATAATCGGTCCGTTTGAGTTCCCAGAGACTTTGACTGCTGAAGTTTATTTGGATTTTTTGAAAAATCATGTAGAAAATTTATTGGTGGACGTGCCACTGAGTATTTACAGGGACATGTGGTTTCAGCATGATGGCTGCCCAGCGCACTATGCACTCTCAGTGAGAGAGTATCTCAATCAAAACTTTCCAGGCAGATGGATAAGGCGGTCTGGTACAATACCGTGGCCAGCCCGATCACCTGATTTGAATCCTTTAGATTTTTTTACTGGGGAACTGTAAAAGAAAAAGTGTATTTCAAGCCGATTCAAAATGTAGCTGAGCTACGGCAAAGACTATTGGAAGCAGCTGAGTTTGTTAATAACCGTGAATTCGCTCGTTTAATAACCCGATCTTTTTTAAGAAGATGTCGAGCGTGTATTGCGGCTGAAGGAAAACAGTTTGAGCATTTGCTGTAAAGGTAAATCATCTTCAGCAGCATTTTGACGCCCACTGTTGTGCAAACAGTTATCCTTAAGGGTCCCTGTGCGTTTTCATAATCGCTGTTTAATTAGGAAATTTTTAAAAATTTTCATCAGTTTTTTTTCAAATAAAAATTGTGCATAAGTTAACGAGTAATCTTCTAAGTGTTATACCATTTTGGAATCGTTATTAAATGCGCCATTTTTTAAGGTTACTTGCCAAACTCACGTAGTACATTTTTTTTCCAGTACAGCCAGTTAAAGTTGAGCAAAGTTTTACTTTGGAATACTTGGTTGGGAAATAAGTGGCAATTTTTTCTGAACGAGAAAAGTTGGCAGTAAGGTTGAGACACCAGTTTGAAGATGCATTATTCACCATTACATTGTAAAAATAAAATCCAAAAAAAGTTAATATTTGTAGTAACAGGAGTTGCCAGACTGCCGTAGGGTGTGAAATTTCTATATTTTTTTCAAAGACCTATAATTTTCAAAACACATACATAAAATTTTTTTAAATATTTTTCCGATAGCTGTTATGACTTTGCCTATCACCCGGTTTCGGCTTGACGTCGACTTCTGGGACACCCTGTATAATGGTACGTCATTTTTCCACTACCGCGGCCTGAGCGAAAAAAATACGAAGAAGCAAAGGAGGCGTAAATGATTGAACTAAAGTCTTATCGGCCAATAAAAGAGGGTAATGTTTCATGATATATCCTTGATCATTCCGATGTATTTTACGACAAGTGTCACCTGTCTTACCACCGATACAAAATGCATCTTCGCATGATAATTATCCGATGAATGATAGCCGTGCCCGATTATGGCCGGCTGATAGCTGAACATATGCTACACAGACTGAATTACATTCGCCAAAGTGTCGACAACTGACGCTTTCTTTTATATAGTACGACTTTGGTACCACCGATCGCGATAACAAACAACCTGAACAAGGTAGATTCTATTTGGCGGGTGCCAGAAACCCTCACAAGTACAGATCAGCAGATCTTGTTTTATTTATTTATACACTATCCAACAGCAACAGCCATTTACAGTCGGCACGGATATTACGTATCTTGTTAAGTGACATTATGTCGATTTTTTTTGACATTGCATTGGTTTTTTGTGACATTATGTAGGTATCTCTACAAGATGTAAACTTAACCCTAGCTGATGGACACGTTGTGAGCTCGTTTTGTAGTTTTACGTGTTGCCTAAACGTGATGATGCTTCAGTTATCATTTTTTTTATTTTTTTTTATTGTATGCTATAGCTAGAAGAAAACGGCAATGCATAGGTGCATAGCGAGTATTTGTGCGCTTAGGGCCGTATTGTCAGCCTTTCCTACAATTTCCTCCTTGATTTTCATAGTTATTTACCCTACCGCGTCAGCGCTCTATTTTGAGGTTATGTTACAATATCTATTTGCATCAAATTATTATTTTTTTTTGTTTATATAACTTGTTATGTAGCCTGAAGTTTCTTGCAGTTCAAGAAGGAAACATAGCCTGACAATAGGAGAGCTGACACGGAACACTAAAATTTTAGAAATATCCTAGCCTTTCTGAAGGAGAGGAAAGACTATAAAAATCAAGGAGGCCATAAAGGCGTCCTACAATTGCAGGAACGACTGACGATTTGGCCCTAAGTCTTCTCAAGGCTTTACAAACTTCAATTCTGTTAAAATTGTTTTGAAAACGCTACAGCTCGCTGGATTCCTAGGGGTAGTAGAAGAAGCTAAAAACTTTATTAAAACAATAAAGTGTACCGGTACAGTGGTAATGCTCTCCATTCCAACAATGTCTTTGTTACGGTTGCCAATAACAGTCATTACTTAATTGGCTGATGCAATTTCATAAAATTTCTTCATACGTATAATTACGAAGTAAATATATATTAATTAGGATCCTGGTCGGGCGTTACAAAAAGTTGCGAGACTTCTCTTTAAAATTTTTGATAAATCGACCGTAATCATGCATTTGTATTAATAAACACGCTTAATTATCCATCCTTGCATGATTTGTGTGTAAGCTCTTTATACGGTTTTTATGCATAGTTGGAAATTGCGCAGTCCAACTTTGATTATTTATCAGACAGTGGGCTCAAATGGGTACCTCGTCGCTGGATATGGAAGTCCAAAGAAGACACCTCGAATTGAAAATTTCAGCACGCCATTATATGATATAACAATAATTTCCAGAGATAAATCATAGCGGATATTCACAATGTTGTCCGCTATTTTGTAGGCAAAGCCTTACTGTTCTCTGTACCAAGGGCGTACCCATTTTTTCTAAACTGGTGGACAGTTGCGGTATTCGGGGGGTGTTCTTGACCAACTCTTCGAGAGCACGTACAGGTTCGACCGGTATGTTTCTTTTATTTATCTACTTATACAGTGTGAGCAAAGAAAGTCATGTTTTTAGCTAAGTCAGATTCCCAATTTTTGATCAATGAAATTTTTCTATGCATCTCTTTGATCTTTGGACTATTCTTAAAAAAGTGATATCTCAAATTTTTAGGAAGTTGGCTATAACTCAAGTCATCTTTGTGTACAATTTTTCAAAATCGAAAATTCAATGCCAACGATAAAGATTTATCTAGTAGTTCGGTTCAAAGCTACGAATAATATCTATAGATCATAATATTTCCTACATAAAAATGATAATGCCGTCGAGTCTAAATAGCGCGACAACTTTCACTCTATTATCATGCACCGCAACTGACCATTATAATTAGTAGAGCAGTCAGTAATGATCGGTTTTTGCGTGTAACGCCGTTTCTTGCGGTGGAAAATATAGGTGACTGTATAGGATGCTTCAATTTTGAGAATGAGACAGTCTTCTATGACCGGCGTTCAATCCATTAACCAGTTATTGAGGTGCGACGTACAACCTTAAGCGTATCCAAAAATACTCATCTAAAAATTAATGATTCGTAGGCGCCGTATCGTCAGTTGTTCGTACGCCTTTATGGCCTTCTTGATTTTAATAGCATTCTCTCCTCCAGAAAGGCTGCGGTATTTCTAAGTGACTACTGTTCCGTGTCAGCGTCAGCGCTCTCCTATTGTGAGGTTATCTTTTCTTGTTGAAGCTTCAGAAATTTCAGGCTGATAAATCAGATGATAAAGATCAAGTTTTTGCCAGCCTGAAATTTCTTAGAATTCAAAAAGGAAATATAACCTCAAAATAGAGCGCTGACACGAAACAGTAGAAATCTACAAATACCACTGGAGGCCATGAAGGCGTCGTGCAGTTGTAGGAACATCTGACGATACGGCACTTAGGCCCGTATCGTCAGTCGTCCCTACAATTGTAGGGCGCGTTTAAGGCCTCCTTGATTGTCATCCACCTTTCTCTCCTTCAAAAATTTCTAGATTACACTTGTCCCGTGTCAGCGTTAGCGCTCTCCTATTGTGAAGATATGTTTTCTTTTTAAAGTGTAGGAAATTTCAGGCTGATAAAACATGATATAACTCAACAGCAAGCACAATTTGATTCAAATAGATGTTTGTGACATAACCTCAAAATAGAGTTCTGACACGGAGAAGCAGAAAAATATGACAATCAAGGAGGCCATAAAGGCGCCCTACAATTGTAGGGACGACTGACGATACGGGCCTTAGTCTACTCAAGTTTCAGAGTAAAGGTAATAAATCAGCGGACTTTGTCGAAATAATATCGTCTTTTTTGTGCTCAAGGAGCTTTGAAATAAGGGGAAGAATAGCTGCGACAAAGTGGGAGTGGTTTTATCAACTTTAGGACATATATTCCTGGCCACAGATAAAATAAAAGTCCCTCCTCGAGTCATTCTCAACGATGTCAAATCCTTGATGGCCGCCTCTACCAAATGACACATTAGATATTAATCATTCAATGCCCTCAATATGAAAATCAAATGGACGTGTTGTTTGACGAATGTTAAGAACTATCAGAATCTGATATCATTTCTCAGAGATTCTACTCCCTCGTTTATGAAAACACGGGTCCTCGAGAGGAAATCTTAGAACCTCCTGTAATCTTAGGAAATCCATACTATAAATAATACAATTAACGTTGTTTTAATAATGTTTGAGCACATCTCCCGGACTAAACAAGTTTATTTTCCCCCAGTATTCTCTGTTATGCAACCGGCTATACGCACTTTCGTAAAGCAGGTTGCTTACCATCATTCGCTGTTATTAACACAGTGTCTTAGGCCCAATACTCGGAGTGAAGTACCAAACTCTGAACCCCGCCACCTGTTCAACAACAGGCAAACTACATATAACACAATGTTGACTTTTGTATTTGACTGTACTTATAGGAACACAGTGAATTTATGAATGCTATTCGCTATTTTACGATTACTGCCTACTATCTACAAGTAAAGTTGTTGCGCTGGAACCCATACAATGTAAGTCTTTTGCATTAGAAAATACTATATGGACACCCTCAGAATATAACGCATCGTATATTTCAGGTTATGACATTTTGTCTCTCGCTCAACATACAAGGACCTCGAAATACCACAATTTGCCGCTAGAGGTTAATTTTGCGTTACGCCGAATTCTAGACGATCTACGAGGCTTTTATGAGACTCCTGAACCGGCGTCATTTTTAATATCTATATTTGATCACCACATGATCCTGCTCTTCAAGTTCTATTAGGTAAGCTCAACTTTAGAGGTCCATACTTTTGCTTGTAAAACGTTGATTTCCAGCTATATCAGCATGTCTGATATTGAACAACCACCTCAAAAGGAGCCAGAGGCTTCTGAGCCAACTTGCAGCACCTCAGAACAAAGTTCAGAGCTCCCTGGCGAAGACTCTGCTGATACGATAGATACAGCAGCATCAGAAGATTCTATAGTTACTCCAGAACCTGTCAGTTTGACAGATCCTCCAGAGCCTAATGTCAGTTTGACCGATCCTCCAGAGCCAAGTCAAAGCCCCATTGACCATGATAAAACAGTTGAACCTGTTGAAGATGACAGTTCTGACAGAACAAGCTTAAAAGACAGAAAGTCTCGAGAACTGAAGCTTCTGCTTGCCCTTTCCAAGGAGTCGAATCTCCCTACTAACATCTCGCACAAGAGAAAACATCTGCAGACACAGAGATTGAGAGAATACAAAAATGCTGCACTGGAAGTTGACAAAAAAGTCTCGAGACAGTCTAGTGATGGCAAAAATATCAGATTTCCAGTGACTGCGGAGGCTGAACTGGAACAGGTGATGGATTCTGAGGTGAAAGAGGCTCTTGGAAGCCCTAATGTTAGTGGGAAAATAAAAAGAAAGAGGGACAGTGAATGTAGCACACCAGGGGGCGCCAGTGAAGAAGCTGTCAAAAAGCATAGGAAAATCACTGCTGGTGAAATCAAGATGTTCAAGGTAAATAAATTGAGATATTTTGGTTATGCATGCTGTGCAGTAGTCCTGTTGCATTTTTGAATCATCTTTATTAAAACACTGAATCTTTTGCATACATTTCCTAACCTATATCAGCCTAGCAACCACATCATCATTGTAGTTGAATATGCATGCCTTTTAAATGTTCTTATACAATAATTTCATGTAGATATTATTACTAATGATCTTAAATTACTCTAGTAGTACCCTGTTAAACTTCTGGTTCATTTTCTTGGCAGTGTCACTTTGACCTCTAGAATAAATGCAAAGATTCTGTTTATGTCATGCCTCTATAACTCATATTTTTAGTGTTTATATGTTTCCAATGAAACTTAGAAAATTACAAGGTGTTTCCTATGTTCAAAATATTATTTCTGGTCTTTTTTAAAATAGCATTTCATGTGACCATAGACAAGTTATATTTTACATCTTGCAAAGTGCTGGCATAAACCACATAGTAAAATACATCTAAAAAGTTATTTTATTATATTTTTCATCATAGATACATCTAGTTTTGAATTAAATAAATATTTTGTTTCTGTTAGAATATCCATTATTATTTTGTTTGGCTAACAGATCTATAGATTGAACTTCAATTTATATAAAACATCCATATCACTAAAGTGAAATGAGGGAACACAGAAAATGTGGGCTCTCAAAGAGGAATAGAGGTTTGCACCAGATTATACAATATTCCTATAGGTAAAGTAAGTTGAAAATAGACCTTATGTCTCATCTATTAGAATCGAGATCAAACTCTTTAACTTAAAACAGTTTTTTTGTAAAACTGACACTAGTTTTTTGTATGATTATGTTGTAAATAACATTCTATGTCATGAAATGTACACTAAGTGCAACTCAATTTCCTTCTAAATCAATTTATTTGTGTTTATTTTATGATGGTATGCCACCTCTTTGTATAAAAAATATCAAGCAAGATTAAAGTGTTTTCTTAATCAAACTGGATATTGATAGGTGTGTCACTGTATCCAAAAACTCCTTCACACTCAGTCTTATCTCCATAATATTTCCAGTTTTATCATTAATTTGTATTTGTTTGTACTAAACATAACTATTTATAGTTGATAACACACTGATTTAATTTCATACTGGCAGAATACTTCTCATAGCTGTTTTTGATAACCCACTCCACCACAGTTTCTTCAAAATGAGAAAAAAAATATAGAAATCAAGTCACCATAATGGGAAACTGTAAAAAGAATAATTTTAGATGAGAGTATAAAAAATCTTTCCTAATGAAGTTTTGAGACTGTACAGCTGCTACAGATTTTTTAAAAATCAATTTTTTCATTGTTCCAAGATTTTGATCACAAACACTTCACACTTCATCAGTGTAGTTTATCGCAAACTTCAAATTCAATGTGCCTGGTATCAGTTTTCGTAAAATATTACTTATTGTGTATATATATATATATGAAGCTCCATGAACTGGCAACACCGCTTACGGGGAGTGGAGCCTGTAACCATCTGCTGCTTAGCCTCGAACGAGGATAGGCCGTTTTCAGTATAATCACCAATCGATAAAGGGATGGCTGGTCACGTGAATAGTCACGTGCTTCGAATTTTGACGTCACTTCCTTCGAAAATTACACATTTGACTGTTAGTTTAGAGCCTTATAGGAAGCGGCGTTGCCGTTTCTTTTTCCTTATCCACAGCAAAAAATAAGATTCCCGAATGGTATTAGACAAGACTATCTCATGAGTAACAGATTATTCTGCAACTGTTTAAAAACAATATTACAAAATTTATTGACAATAAAATCAGAAAAATTGTTTTCGGGTATCCTTGGAGACCATAATAATTACTTGTTATCAAAGGTATTGTAATTTTTGATGACAACAGCTGTCAAGTTTTGCCGCGGGTTAACACGGAAAAATTGCTGGCAGGTGCTGTCATTCAATTTTTCCATCTACAAACCATTTGTAATTCAAAATTGCGCGTTATTTGTGCTTGGTAGAAATTAAGACGAGGGAAATAGTCACTGAAACTTCAAATCTATATTTTCCATTTATTTCGCTATCATCGCGTATTTTTCGGGTTTGAATATCGCCGCGTAATCGCGCTACCCGTGCTAATGACAGACGTCTATGTGTTGTCCTAGCATCATTATTACTTCCAGGAAAATAAAGATATGTTTTGCTGGAGATGCCACAGGGATGGAGTCAATATAGTATGCGAAACCTGCCCTAGAGCATACCATCAAAAATGTTTGAAGCAAACGATAAACAACCCAGAACATTGGCCATGTCCAGAATGTGTCTCTATATTGAAAGCAGAAAGTACTCAGACGAGGTAAGGGAACAATTCTAAGCTAAGCATTTTTTATGTTTGTGTCTTGTTTAGTGCCATTTGAAGTCCTGAAATTTTATAAAACCGTACGCAAAGAGCAAGGGGCACTGGACGCCGCCGTAGAACAACATACCGTGAAGATCGCCGCCTAAGATTATTGGCCTTAAGGGACCGTTTCTCCACTACCAGGTCCATTGCAAATGAATGGTTTGCAGAACACGGAAGACCTATTGGCATGCGAAGTGTTTACCGACGGATGAGAAGTTTTGGCTTGTTTTCATACCGGCCACACTGGGTCCTCCCTTTAACTCGAGAACACCGACGTAATCGCCTTGAGTGGTGCAGACAACGGTCACTCTGGGATCAGGAATGGAACAGTATTGTCTTTAGTGACGAGTCTCGATTTTGTTTAGGCATGCACGATGGTCGTGCCAGGGTTAGAAGGCGACGTGGTGAAAGGAGGAATCCACAGTTTTTTGTTGAAAGACATGTTCATCACACTGTTGGCGTTATGGTTTGGGGTGCTATAGCTTATGGTTCCAGGTCACGTTTAATCTTCATCAGAGGTAACATGAACGCGCAGCGTTATATCCACGAAGTTCTAGAACCCCATCTTTTACCCTATCTTGACACACTGGCAGATCCAACCTTCCAACAAGATAATACCCGACCACATGTTGCAAGAGTCACAATAGACTTCTTTCAACATAATGATGTCACATTGTTACCATGGCCACCAAGATCTCCCGACTTATCCCCAATTGAGCACGTGTGGGATATGATGGGTAGGAGATTGCTCAATTTGCAACGTCCTCCTCAGACTCTAGAAGCACTTCGAGAGGAGTTAGTGGTTGCCTGGAATGAGATACCACAGGAGGACATTGACCACCTGATCAGAAGCATGCCTAGGCGCGTTGGAGAATGCGTAGCACATCAGGGTGTATCCACACATTATTAAAGGTCAAAGGGCTTTAAAGCAGTGCAATCATTTTGAAATTTTTATCATTTACTTATTATGCTTCATTAAGTACTTATACAAAATTTTATTAAAATAAAACCATTTAAACTGGGTGTTCGGATTTATATGTTACTTAGTATATGTATGTCTACAAAGTTCTTGAACCAAGATCGTACTGCCTAATACAGGGTGGGCCATTAAGTTGAGCGGTTTTTAAAAAATCATCCGCCCAAACTGTAACATAACGCGAATGCAAAGGCCGTTGATCATAGTGACAGTTTGTAAGTCTATCAGGTCTGGTAACCCAGAAACCAGACAATTTTAAGGAAGAAAATGAGAGAAGGAGGAAAGATAGCAAAGAGGGAGAAGATAATCTTTCTGAAAGACTGGGGTATTTCTAGACTTCACTTGTTTCATGTCAGCGTCAGCGTTCTCCTATTGTGAAGTTATGTTTTCTTCTTGAATTGTAGGAAATTTCAGGCTGATTAAACAGGTGATATAAAACAAAAGCGTAAACAGTTTGAAGCAAATAGATATTCGTGACTTAACCTCAAAATAGGGCGCCGCCACGGATCAGTAGAAAACTATGAAAATCAAGGATGGTACTTTTGACTTAGCTAAACAAAGTCTAAAAATTCCAGGTCGCCTGCAATGAAAGGGATGACCTTGGAACATCTATGCAGCCTCCTCAAGTTTGCCATAAAGCGGATGATACAGTGTCAGGGGGTAAGCTAACGATTTAATTAGTACTTAGTACACATGACGGGTGCTCTTGTCGCTCGTCATCAACAACGCTTCTGGTCTGAGTTTGATTTCTGCCATTGTACTGAAGTTCATTTGCGTCTCTTCCTGATATCTTGCGAATCCTTCACTTTCCCAGAAAACTGTAAATTTCAAGTCCAGCCCATCCAAAAAAGGATCTAAGTCCCAAACAGTTTCTTTGACCTCGTCTTAGCGTCCACGCAGATACTTCGGTATAAAAAATGAATTTCTTCTATTTCTCGTTGTAATTTTTTCGTTGCACAGTTGATTCGAACCTAAATATACAAAGAAAAATGTACTTCATATTCCTTTTATTGGTATATACCTTTTTCTTGGCATTGTAATATACAGGGTGGCCCAACGAAAAGGTGGCACCACCATTTGTGATTCTACTATATATCACTGGACAACAAATTTTAGTTTTTTAATTGTATCTTGTGGGAAAAGTGCAGTTCTTTGTTAATTTTGGGGCGCTGAATCCAAAAATGACAATGAAATAAAAAAATTAGTTGCGGTTTAGAAAAAAAACTTTTTATTTTTAAGGATATATTACGGGAATCATTCCAAGCAGTTTTTTCAATAACCTGTTAAAGTGTTTTCAAACTGTGTTTCTTTCAAAATATTTCGAAACTGTGGCCCAACAAAAATACCTTCTTTAACCTTTGCCTCACTTAGTCTTGGAAATTTCTGACGCAGGTATTGAAAAGCTGACCCATCTCTATCTAATGCCTTGACAAAGTTTTTCATTAGGCCCAACTTGATATGCAGTGGTGGTAATAAATTTTTTTTCGAATCTACTAATGGAATATGCTGTACATTTTTTTGACCTGGCTCTAGGAATTGACGGACAGGCCAGTTTTGTCTGGTGTAATGAAGTGCCGTTGCCCGACTGTCCCATTCACACAAAACACAGCAAAACTTTGTGTAGCCTAGCTGCAGCCCAAGTAAAAGTGCAACAACTTTCAAATCGCCACAAATATGCCATTGGTGCTCATCGTATTTTATGCATGTCAATAACACTGCCTTTAAACTCAATGTTGAACTGTTTATAAACAATCTCCATTCTTCTGGGTTATAGTTTATATTTAAAGCCGCCAGTAAGCCGTTAATGTTACTGCAGAAAACCAAGTTATTCTCCATATTGAAAAATGGTTCTAAGTCTTTGTGGCGTTTACGAAAAACAAATACCGAAACATCGTCTTCTAACAAGTTCCACTGCTGCAGTCTTGATCCAAGTAACTCTGCCTTACATTTTGGAAGTTCTAAATCTCTTACAAGATCATTTAATTCTGACTGTGTTATTTTGTGCGGTTGGTGGCATGACGTGCTCGGTATAAAATCAGGATCTCTTGACGTTGATGGCATATCTTCTTCCTGACGAATCACTCGATCGCCATAATCTGATTCGTTTTCTGATTCGCAAGTGTAGGATTCTGGGGGTTTTGGAATAGGATTTTCGTCACTGTGAGGCACAGGTCTCATCGCAGATGGTATGTTTGGGTAGTTAATAACCGATTTTTTTTTCTTGGACATACCCTGTGGCTTGTCCAACACAAGGTACCATGCAAAAGTAACAATCATTAATATGATTTGTAGGCTCTCTCCAAACCATTGGGACAGCAAAGCGCATAGACCGTTTTTTGCCATTTAACCAGCTCCTCAGACTTGAAGCACATGTATTACAGCAGATGTGGGGTGCCCACTGTTTGTCTTGATCACCTAGTTTATAACCGAAATAAAGCTGATATGCCTTTGTTATTATTGGAGTAATAGACCGTCTCTGAGACGCAAAAGTCACATCACCACACACGTAACAAAACTGATCTGGATTGTTTACACACTTTCGAGACATCTTGCATGAACGCTGTCAGCCAACTGAGGAAAAAATGGCTAATATAAAACAATATAATGTACACGTATGTATAACGTAACACAATCATGCCGATTACATCATCTTTCCTTGCCGAATATAAAAATGTAGCACGTGCATTCTTGTGAATTACAGTATATTAACACTGTCACAGCAGGAACACATATAATTACTGTATCTCTAAAACTTGAACTAATATTGAAAAAATAAGTTTCATTCCGGTTTTAGCACATTAAAAATAGTAATGTTTTGTTGATTTTATTTAGGATATTTTTTGGCTGTTGATCAGTGTATTTTCACACGACAATTTCGATTTCTAGGGAGACGTTTTTTCATCTCAAATAGCTTCACAACGATTGAAGATAGGTATCAACTTTATTATACAAACACTAAAAATTAGAAAAAAATGGGGTTTCTATTTAAACGTCTAAAGTTTAACGCAGTATCTTATCTTTGGATCACCCTGTATTGAACGATTATAGATGAAAAGACGTCCCCCTTGACGCGTCCGAGCGTGTTTCCCAAAATATACCAGGAGATTCACAAATGGGGGTGCGACCTTTTCGTTGAGCCACCCTGTATAAAACAGGATACAATTTTGCTTAAACACCGTGTATTTTTTATATCCATATCAGCAGCAGCATTTAAGTGTGTTTGTTGAACGTTAGGTAAATACAGTAAAATATAAAACGTTTTTATTGTTAGCAATTCAGTCTAAATCTGGACATATCAACACCTTCTGCACACACATATTAAATAGATTCGCGATCGAAATAATGAATTGTAAATGCACAATCATGAAAAAGTGTAGCAAAATTAAGACAATCACCTTGTTTGGTGACCTTAAACTCGCTGATATTAAAAATACGCGTCCGCCACGGAATTTCACAGTTTGACAACGGCGCACGCGAGTTCGCTAACCTTTTGACCGATTCCGTTTCATTCGATTGCCGGGCGTTCTGCAAATGCTGCAGACGCTAGACGTTGCAAGCCGAGCGTTGGGATGCCGTGTTGCCAGAATGCATGGCAATACCGAACGTTGCGACATTGATAGGGCTTTGTACGTTGACGTCAATATGTTCATCGAACAGCGAATTCGTTCGCTTATTATGATTAATATTCGAAAACTTTACTCACTTCAGTACACAAGATCGTCACTGATACAGCGCGGCCAATATATTATAACTGACAGACAATTTAACCTGCAAAACATGTGGTTCCAGCAGGACGAATCAACTTGGCACACAGCTAGAGAAACAATGAATCTTTTGCGAACAATATTTCAGGGACGTTTTAGTTACGTGATTTGGTGATGACAACTGGCCACCAAGGTCAAGGGATTTAACTGCTCCTGACTTCTTTTATGGGGATGTTTAATAAATAGGGTTTATGCCAAAAAACCAAATACTGTCGAGCAGCTGACGAACAATATTACGGAAGCGGTTGAAAATATTCCAGAAAGTGATGGCTTCTAGAGCCGGATATTTGTCTGATATTATTTTAGATTTAGATGAAAAATGGACGTATTTTATTTCATTTCACAAATATTCAAGATAAACGCCAGTCAGTTACATATCAGCCACCTACTTATTTGTACAGCAAACTAGGCTGTCTGTTAGTAAGGCAACTCGTAAAAATCGTATTTTGGTTATTCCAAAACATTCAACGGGTCTGTTTCGGCGCAGTTATTGTACGCAGTGTCACAAATAGTTGAATCATCGTTAAATTGATTTTTACATAGTTCGGTTATAAAGACGTACAGTATATTCAGATAAGAGATAGACCGGACATAAACAAGACCACGTGATCATCGAACGCTGTAACATTCGGCAGGGACGTATTAAGAGTCACGCAGTACATATTTTAGATAGTAGATGCTGCTTTGCGTAACTTTGTAGTAAATTAGCACAATTCGATGTGTATACGATTGGTGATGGATATAGGATCATGTGGGGGTGGGATAAGAAATATATAATGATGTAAATATACATAAGGGTTTCAAAATTTTCGCTTCGATTTCCAGCTTCGGATGCCGCCTGATGTTTGGTGAAATACAGTCGAATATAATCTCAAAATGGCGTTTAAATTAGCCTAAATTAAAAATAATTTGATTAGTATATTTTTTGATTTCTAGGTAAATATGTAACCAAATTAAAACGTTCAAAACGTAAAAAAATGTGCATGGTTGAACATTGTCAGAAAGTAGATTCTTGAATAGGTTTTGCCAAAATGGGTTCAAAAATGTCAATAATTAATTAAAAAATACAGTAGCTTTATAATTACTTATAACTTACCGAATTTGATGAACGACATCTTTTATTGGAAAGATGAGCTTGATGAGCTTTCATCATCGCTACTGCCTGAAGCACCAACGTCAATAATGAATGGCTCGACTTGTTCCTCTAAAATATTGTCCAGTTCCCACATTCTCTTTTCAACTTTGTCTTTCACGTGCTTAATACAGTTTTCCCATTTTTGCGCTGTTATTAATTCTAGTGCTTCTTTGAAAAGTCCTTTGAGGTCACAAAATTTAAAAGTTGTATTGTGCTTAGCTATATAATTTTTAACCTCTGCCCATATGAGCTCAATGGGATTGAGCTCGCAATGGTATGGAGGTAAACGGAGCACAGTTTTATTTTGACTTGCTGCCATTTCGTCAATGGCGTATTTTTGATATTCCGCCTTGTGATCCTTGACAATTCTTAATAATTGTACTTTCAGCATTGCTTCTTCAAAGTTGATATTTTTCGAGCGGAGCCAATTTTGAACATCAACTTTCCTTGAAGCCGTTGTTGGGACCTTCTCCATTCTTCGAGAATGATAAGGCGCATTATCCAACACAATTACTGCGTTTTCCTCTAAGTTCGGTAAAATTTTTGAAAACCACTGTTCAAACGATTCGCCATTCATTTCCTCGTGGTAATCTCCAGTTTTCTTAGACTCAAAGCACCACAGACCGTCAACAACAAATCCATCCTCACTGCCAATATGGCAGATAATGAGCCTTTTCCCTTTACCTGGAAATCGAAGTACTAACTGGTGTAGATTTATTTCAATAAGCGAACCTTTTTCAAATGTTTTCATCACATTCAGCGAAAAAACATTGAGACATCAGATTGCTATAATTGGGATTATTTAGTCATATTGAAAGAAAGAATATTGAACGTCGTATGATTACTCAGCGCTTCACAATTTAATTTAAAGTTATAAACCTTTAAAAAATGAATGATCAGGAACCTGAAATACGCGCAAATATTAATATTAACAAATTATAACTTTATAAAACTTAAAGTATGAATTAAAATGATTAGAAATATTAGGAACGGTACAAAATATAAAACTTAGTAACTTTTTTTAAGTTTATAATATTCGACATATTTTAAGATTATATTAAAAAATTATTGAAATATCGAAAACACATAAAAACATGGCTTAAAAAAGTTCTAACAAATGAAAATGACAATAAAACATCCACGCATTTTATCGAAAGTTATAAAAGTTTTGTTACTTGTAATATGTTTTATCTGCCCCCTGGAATTAATGTTTAGAACCTTGTTCCCAAGGTTTGAAAAACATCCGATTGTTGTCTATTACTCGTATTTACCTGCTGGATTTTTTTATCCGGTGGACAGTCCATCTAGAAAGGCCCTCCTGGATGAAGTTACAGAATCATCAACCCATACTTTATTTGTAGTGTGTCCTGCGTTTACCCACGTTTCATCAAGGTAATAAATCTTCCTGTTTTGATTTCTATATTTCCCAATTTTTGTTAAATAATCCCTCCTCCATAGCACAATTTCTTCTCTATCCAGTAGTAAACTATTACGACCCCGTTTCTTCCATTTGAAATTTAAATGCTTCAGTAACGCATGGAAAGTTGATCGTTCGAAATTTGGCAACGTTGTATCTCCATTTACCTCCTGCAGTACTTTATCTATAGTAGGTATTTCATTCCTAAAGAAGAATTCATGCACCTTCCTCCTAATCGCATGCTTATCAGCTTCATCCAATGATTTAACAATACTTTTGCGATGTTTACTGGTCATTGGCTCAGAAAAGGTGTGATTTTTTTTGTATTGTCTTAACACATTAAACACTGATGCGCGACACACCCCAACTTTGTGAGAAACCTTCACAACAATTTCTTTGATGGTTGATGCCTCGTTCTCCTCGCGCTCGATCTTATATATATTCAAAATGACCTCTTTCATTTCTGCACTCAGGTGTCTTTTTTTAGAGCGTTTCCTAGGTGGACTACAGGAGTTTACAACTTCATCGGCAGTATCTGTAATACTGGGCATTTTGCGCAAGCAGTTGATAACAATAACAATCAATAACAAGGTATAACAATAACAACGACAAACTCAACAACTTAATAAGATAACAAACGAAAACGTCCAAAGAAATATCAAATTGCAATGATGCACACGACATACGTAACACGTCTGAACCTGAATGTGACTCTGCCTTGATACGACTGCTCTGCCGCTCGGCATAGGCATTTAATTGCGAATTGACCAATGAGGGCTCCTGTTTTACGTCGAGACGGCGGCGTTAGCGTGAAAATCACCCAAACCTTTTGTTTACATCCGGTCTATCTCTTATCTGAATATACTGTAGATGAATCTGTTCCGGATTAACATTATTTCATCAAGGGTTAAAAGATTCTCTTTTCAGTCCGAACCATTTCTGAACGCCGTCAGTGAAGCGGATTTTCCAGATTACAAGAAGTATATAATACAACCTATGGACCTGACGAAGTTGGAAAAAAACATCAAAAACAACATTTATGGCAGTACCCAAGCATTCGAAGCGGACGCTAAGTGGTTGTTGCATGACAGTATTATTTTCAATTCTTGTAAGTAACGAAATTCAACAAAACGGAGTTTTTTTTCGAACGATACTCATTTTTTTAGATCAGTCGAAGCTGACCTCAGCTGCTAAAAATATAGTGAAAATATGCAAGCAGGAAATGGCGGAAATAGAGAATTGTCCTAGTTGCTACCTGAACGCAAATACCAAGAAAAATACGTGGTTCGTTGAAGTCTGCCCGAAGCCGCATATATTGGTCTGGGCAAAACTAAAAGGTAAATTCAAAAGCCTAATTCTGGAATATTTTGAGTAATACTTTTAGGTTACCACTTTTAAAACTTTTTCAAGAAGCAGACCTAAGTTGGACTACTTATTATTTTTTTTTTTTGTATTTCGGTTTGCTCTACGCCTTACTACCAGTGGGAAAGTTCACTTTTAGATTTAAGAAAAAAAAACTATTGAAAAGAAAATATTTATTACTATAATCATATTCGTAAATTCGGCGGGTCTTATTTCTTAAATATCATTCCGTCCAAATGTTCGGACACACTCTTAAAATCGCGCGCGTAAATTCTGAAACACTCTTGCATATTGGAATACACTTTTGACTTTAACCCCACAAAAAATAATCGCATGGCATGAGGTCGGGTGACCTAGGATCCCAGTGAATGTCTCCAAACTTCGGGGAAAAAGTGCTTTCACCGTGTCCATCGATTCTTTGGAAAAGTATGCGCAGTGGCCCTATCGTGTTGAAACCGCTAAATCGACATTCTGTTCTTCGCAGTATCGCTCGGAATTATATGTCCATGCATGACCGTTTTCTCCTTTAAACAAACACCTCCCAATAATACCGCCAGAGGATATGGCGCACCAAACAGTCACCTTTAGAGTATGTAGCTGTTGTTGAGGTTTCTCGTTTGGGTTCTTTGGTGCCTAATATCTGCAATTTTTGCTTGTTCACATAATGGTCTAAGTGAAAATGGGCCTCGAGTCTGCGCTGCGTAGAAAAAAGATTCAGCATCCGTTCAGCACAAGATTCCCGTAATACGTAATCACTTTCCTTCAAAGCATGGACTGATTGGATTTTATAAGGATGAATTTTTTCTTCATTATGTCATGTAGTGTTGACCTAGGGATTCTCAAAGCAGCGGAATGCTTCCGTACAGAACGCCCAGGATTTGCAATGAGCGAATCACTTACTCGACACGAATTTTGTATCGTCTACAAAATTCCCGAAGGGCAGTTGCGTATGAATCACCACTCCTTATCCTCGGTAGCAAAAGCACGTTGCGCTCCGGTCCAACGTTCCATTGTGACTATTTAACCCCACTGAACGTCCTATATTGTATTTTATAAGGCTGTATTTTTTTGAAGGTTTTCCGTATTGGCCAGCAAAGGCCATGCAGTGTAACAACTCTGGAATGGTGGACGTAAGATTTTTTGGCGCCCATGACCGAGCTTGGGTGCACTATAAGGATTGTTACCTCTATTCGGAAAAAGACCCGAATACGTTTAAACAGAAGAGATACGACATTGAGAAATGCATTGAGGTATGTCTCGAATAAATTTTTTTGATGCAAATATGTCGTTCCATTTTCTAAAGCACACATGCGAATGCCATTTCACAATTGCTGGAGACGTGCTTGAAAGTTGTATTGTATTTCCAATATTTTAGTATTCCAAGTAAAATTGTGCAGTATTTGAAACACATTTTTTGTTTTCAAGTATCAAATACTCCATGAAGATTATTTGAAATATCAAATACAAATAGAAAAGTACGCACCTGCACCACTCACTTCGCAAAACGTTTGCTTTTCTGTCTACATTCACATGTATGATTAAATTTTTAATATTAACTATTCGTATATTTCGGTATATTACTTTTACATGTGTCACCGTTTTTGAGATATTGATTTTTTTCTTAAATTTAAAAAAAAAAACGAACCGTTTCATCTGCATATACAAATAAGGTTACGAGTATACTTTGTTCATTTTTTCTATAAAATACTTCTAGATAGTTGCTTTATCATGTACAAATGCAATGTAGTTACAAGATATTAAGAAACCATGATCAAATAAGGACTATTTTGGGATTTATAATATATATATATACAATTAATTGTTAATTAGGAAATTGGCAAACTTTTTAGGCTTTAGTTTAACGGTAATCTCGAGCTTTCGGCATTCTCTATGGAGTCTTCTTCAGGAGCTGAAAACACAATTATGATGCTAGCAACCAATGCAGGAAAGATTTAAAATTAAAACAATTTACTCGTCGTTGAGGTTGCAGCCAAATGGTGTTTCAAAACGAACGCGGGGATGAGAGCACTTGTTACAAATATAAAACCAAACGGACGGACACATTGGGTTTATTGATAACGACGGAAACCATCGTTAGGCGTTAACAATATCAATAAACGCGAACACATTAAAAATTAACGAAAAGCAATTTTGGGGAAAAATATATAGTGTTAACACGTAACGATGATTTCTGTCGCTATCAATAAACCCAATATGTCCGTCCGTTTGGTTTCATATTTGTAACAAGTACAAGAGTAAGTTGTTTTATATTTAAATCTTTGCTGTATTGGTTGCTACCTTCAAAATTGTGTTTTCAGCTCCTGAAGAAGGCTCCATAGAGAATGCCGAAAGCTCGAGATTATCGTTAAAAGCCTAAAAAGTTTGCCAATTTCCCAATTAACAATTAATTGTATTTTTTGCCCATCTGGTCGTTGGCAATGGCAATGACTACTGCTCATATATATATATATAAAAAAGATTTTTAAGGGTCAAGTGGCAGAATAACTTCAAGCTAAACTTCGCCCTTTAATAAAAGACGTTTTATTATTATTATTATTAAATACCACAGAAAAGAGAGTCTTTGAACTAAAGTATTTCAGGTACAAAAAACATTTGGGATGCGGCTTTCAAGTAACTTACTTGAAGTACCGACAGCTCTGCCTGTAGTCTAGTCATGTTTTCGAGATTCGAACCTTGATTTTCAGGAACTGACCATCTACGCGGAAAACCTGAAAAAAATCTACGGCGAATTCCGACCGGCCCCTTTCAAGACGTGCTACGATCCGGACAACGAAATGAAGCAGTTGCAAATCTTCCTGCCGAGGTACAAGCACGTAAAGGCGCTCATGAAGAGGAACGCTCAAAACGGCGAAGTGAAAGCAGATTCGGATAAGACCGATGGAGAGAAAGATGGCGATAAAAGCGACGAGTCCGCGAAAGACGGTATCGAGGAAAAGCAGGAGCTCGCGAAGACGCCGCAAAGCGAAAAGTCGAGCTCGAAGGACGATTTGAAGAGCGAGGATAGGTTTTCGAACTTCAGCAGTCCTGTCAACGAGGATAAGGAGAATCTTGATACCACCATGGAGGTAAGTCTTACTTTGAGCTTTTCTCTACGATATCTCCGCGATCCAAACCTGTAGTAGTACAAATGTTTTTTTTATCTATTTATTTATTTACTAGTAGTAGTAGTATATGTATATATCTTTTTCTTATATTGAAAGTTAGGTTTATGAACGAAATCTGACCTGAATCCCATTCCTACGTTTCCCTTTATCTTTTTGTCGGTCTTGGGTTTCAGAAGGAATACTTTTAATAGCTTCCAGACTATTGCTTTTCAGATGCCCTGTAGTTCTTTCCCGTAAACCTTGTTTATTATAAATCCCTACAGGAGGAAGTCTGGAGCCGTCAGATCTGGTGATCTTGGAGGCCAGATGGCACTGCCTAAGTACAAAAGTAAGCATTATCGTGGGATAATTTGTGTCTCCTAAAATTCAAGAACTTAATCTGCAATAAATGTAGCTGCAGATGGACAGAGTAGCTTTCTACATAGCTAGAGAAACAGTTGATGTTTTGCGAAGAATTTTTCGGTATGTTTGGTCCCATCTGGCTCCGAAGTCACCAGACCTAGACTTCTTTCTGTTCCGATTTCTAATAAATAAGGTATAATATGGCAAAAAAACCACTGGAAAATAATGGAAAATGTAGTAACCAACTCAGGCTTGTACGGCTTCCAGAGGCGCGAATTTATATGGTACGATTTTTCATACTTCCCCACTTTCCTCAAAACATTGAGATACAAAAAATCATAATTGATTTCGTCCTCACATAACGATCGCAACATTGAAACTCTCACTGCCTCAATGTTTTCAGGCGAGGGACTCCAGTTCTTGGACTCATCGCACTTTCAGGTTATCTAAACTTAATGACTCACGTATCAGTTTATTTTCCGGTCCTTTAGTTCTGCACCTCAAAGGCGCCATGCTGCTTCTCTTGTGAGCAGACAATCTTCGTTAAAGTTCATTTAAAAAAATCTTTTTCAGGGCTACGGTACAGACGATGACGCCGCAGAAATCGACCTGGAACGGAGAAAACAATTCAGAGGAAGGAAGACCGACGAGATGGAATACGAAGAAGAAGATGACGATGATGAGGAGGATGACACGCAAGTGCCAAATAACATATCTGTGGACAGTCCCGTAGTTAGGGGCAACGTCAGGACTAGAGGAGGACATAATAGCACTCCAGGTGATTATTACTATCAAAGTGTTTTAATGTTGTTACTTTGACACTCTAGAGCGGCAAGGCTGTCACTCCTTGGCAAACATTAAATACAGCAGACGCTCGATAATGTAAACTAATTTAATCCAAGTGTGGTTCACATTATCGAAATGTTTACATTAGCGAACGTGATTTATACAAAATTTGATTTATTAAAAGAAACGTTTAATATATACTATTTATAACAAAATAAACAAATATTCTAACAGCGATAAGTATTTTTTTAATTAGAAGAAAAATAATTAACAATTTTTGTCTGCGTAAATTTGCGCTTAGCATTGTCTTCCAATGCCTGCGCCCATAATTTACGAAGAACTAAAATATCCGTGTATGAAACTTCTTTTCTTTCAGCCCAATCTAAGGCTTGGTTGAAAACTTGTATAGCTTGCGCGTCAGTCACTACACTTCTGACTTCAATCGAATCGTTCTCATCATCCTCACTGTCCATATCCTCCTCCTTATCAGCATCATTCGTCTGCTTATCTTAGTTCCATAAATTAACATCAGCAGGAGTACAAACAATGTTGGGATTCACTGTTTTCAATAAATCAACAACATCCAATGACACACTAATAACATTATCATTATTGGATCGCAAACGTTCTCTAATTACGCTTAAGGGGACATCGTCTTCGTCATCATCTTCATTATTGGTACAAAAGAGATTGTTCCAACATTTTTGAATAGTTTGCTGGTTAAGTTCATTCCAGGCCATATGTAAATCTAAAACAGCTTCTCGTAATGTTACTTTTTTTAAAGCCTCAGATAAGTTTTCAGGATTCTTTGATAAGACAGACGAAAGTAGAAACTTCCTATAGTATAGTTTGGTGAGTCTTATTATATTCTGGTCCATCGGTTGAATTAACGGTGTTACGTTGGGCGGCATGTACATGACGAAAATTGACCCATCCCTGCTCCTCAGTTGTTGCTCGGGAGGATGACTTGGTGCATTATTCAATAGTAACAACGCTTTTATTGGAAGCTTCTGTTGCTTTAGGAAACCTTTTACCTACAAATTGAAAACACATCTTCAAATTATGAATAGAGCATTTGTGATAATTGATTGTCATACCTGAGGGACAAAGCACCTGTGGAACCATTTCAGGAATATACTGCTAGTCATCCAAGCGGTTTTTGAACAGTCATAATCAACAGGGATATTAACATTTTTAAATGAGTGTGGATTTTTTGCTTTCCCAATTACCAGTGGCTTTATTTTGTGTGAACCATTAGCATTAGTGCAGGCTAGAAACGTTATTCGTTGTTTCTCCGGCTTTCTTCCCGGGGCAGATGTTTCAAATGATGCAGCATAGGTTTTCTGTGGTAAGATTTTCCAATAAAGGCCACTTTCATCTGCTTTGTAAATTTGTTCCATTCTTAAATCTAGCTCGGTAATTGTTTTCATCAATTTTTCTTTGAATGGTTGCACTAATTGTGGTTGTGCTGATAATTTTTCACCAGATATAGACAGCAGTCGAATTCCATATCTTGTTTTGAATCGTAGCCAGCCATCACTAGCTACGAAATTTTCAGTTTCTTTCAGTTTTTCATTTAACAGTCTCGCTCTCTGTTTAAGTACTTCGCCACTAACTGGGACATGATTTTCCCGTTGTTTTAAAAACCACTTATACAGGGAATTTTCCATTTTAGGTGCCTTCGCATTTTTTAAGTTTATCTTTTTCCCGGACCTCCAAATGTATTGCACGTTCTTTGTAAAATTTGAGTTTTCATACGCTTAATTTTACAGATTGTTGCTTTCGATACTCCATATTTTTTTGCTAACTGTGTCACTCCCGCACCTAGTGCAACTTCGTCTATGATTTTCACTTTCTCACTCAACATTAAACACTTTCTTTTATAGGATGTGGATGCCATAGTCGTAAAATATATTAACGCGTGCAATGTATTCACTTAAGTTCAAAAATGAAATACATACGTACGTATAAACGTATCCTAAACGATCATACGACTGACCGAGTTTGTCGTATTTTATCGCAGAGCTGAGTCCCCTACACTCTACATCATAAATCGGGGACTCCCCGACGCCCGACATAAATCATCGATTCTTCAGCATTTTACCGTTGCGCTGTTTCCGTGCGTCGAGAGTTGTTTACGTTATCGAGCGTACACATTGTTTACGTTATCGCGCGTTCCGTTCGATCCTATAGAACGAAGTTTGTGTTTACATTAGCGCAAGTTTTCATTATCCCGTGTTTACGTTATCGAGCGTCTGCTGTATGTATAACTGGGGATGTTGAAACTTTAATTTGGCGCCATTTTTTATTGAATCCGAAGATACATTTTAATTATGGATTGCTTTTTTTATGAAAATTAACCTGGTACCGTAAATGTGGCCTTTTCGTGGCACCAATTGAATAATATGAACTTGATAATACGTTCTTTTAATAAGGTATCGCTAGACGAGGAAAACTTTGGAACTGTCTCCTGGTGGCGCTGTGATTTCTCTATGATTATGAGATTATGCAATTTAACCCCGCTTGACATCTTTTTTTTTAGATCCCTGAAAGAGACTGCAGACGAATTAGTTGAGAGTTTTTAGTGCCACAAAAATAACGGATTGTTAAGCCTTCCATTACGTTATTTTTGACAGCGATAACTAATAAGGGTGGTTCGAAAAACATGAGCTTTTATGAACACTAAAGTAATTCGTGGTACTGACTACTAATAGTCATGACAGATTGCATCTATTTTTTTTTTTATTTTGACGTGAAGCTAACCCGCAAATTTCAAATTTTCTCAACCGCGCAAAATTGACATAACGAATATGCAAAACAAGATCACTAAAACTCTATTGACCTGAAGCCAAAGGACTTCTGAAGTGATTGCGTAAACGTTACCGGAAATTTTGATCCTAGAAACAGCTGGGAGGATATTTTGATATTTTTTTTCTTGATTCTAACTCTCAACATTCATGAGCATGTCTCAACATGCAGCGTCATATTGCAAAACTTTTATAGGAGCATTTGATTTCATTAAAAACTGACTAGTAGTTACGCAATTTTCAGGGAAGCTGAGGGTCCTTCCAAGGCGAAAATCTGAACACGACAAACTGAAACGCACTTCGACGGACGAAGTTTCATCCCCCCGCCAGAAACTATCCAGAAGAAACAGCGATCAAAGCGTGAAAAGCGACTCGAGTCGCATATCGAACATCTCCGACAAAATCAGCAGGGTCGACATCACCGAAAACATGGAAGTATCGCTCGGTAACGATGACGTCGGCTGTTTTAGCGTGACAGGCAAAACGTCACCTGTCAACAGCGATGTGTCAAAATGCGGCAGCGAGCACAGCGTGGAGATCAAGAAGAGGCCTGTACAAGTGGACATCGATAACGCGGAATTCACCATATCGCCGTCGAACAAGTTGAAGATTGCCGATAAGCTTATAAAAAGGCTGTCCGATTCCTCTGACAGCAATCAAAACAGCGATAAGGTAGAAGAGGCGAAGAAAAACTTATCACTTGGAGAGAATAAAACACAGACCGATATGCTGATTGAGCGATTCAAGGGAATCGTAGAAAAGGAGGTGATCGATTTCAAAGAAGGAAGTGAGGTTGATAGTTCAAAGTTAGACAAAAATGATGAGGCAGAATTGAAGATAACCGAAGACGTACAAAGTCAGAAGGAGCCAGAAGTGGTCGAGGATAGTGATAAGGATAAAACAAGTCGCAGTGAAGAAAAGAAAGAGACGCGGACAAAAACCAAGGCCGAGAAAAAAATCGTGGACGTCACGCCTCCAGAAAAAAGTGATAGTTGCGATTCAGAAGAAACCGACGCGGAAGAAGCACCGAAGAAACCGAAAGTGATGATTCAACCTTCCATCAGGGAATTCGTTCATTCGACTTTACCCTCGAAAGTACCTGAAATTGCCAGTGTCAAGATTAAGGAAAAGCGAGAAGATGACGCCGAAGCGAGCACGCACAAAGCTGAAGAAGTGGACGAGGTGGAAGGTGAAGACAGCGACGACGAAAAGGAGATGGTCATTGATGAAACAGAAATTTATGGGAAAGGCGAGAATAAAGCTCCAGAGCACGTTGATGATAATACGGGATCGAATTCTTCCGGTGGCGATGAAATCCAGGTACAGAAAAACAAAATTAAACACGTCATCCAATCGTCTTTGAAATGTGATAAAGAGAAAACGCAGCAACAAGATAAAGCGGCAGAAATTGAAAAAGGTGCTAATGAAGATGAAGAAAGTAAGACGAAAGATAGCGATGCGTGCGAAGATAAGAAAAAAGTAGAAGAGAGTATGTCTGACAGTAGCGATAGCGACGATATTGAAGCAGCCAAACATAGAAAACGTCGTGAAACAGAGAAAGCAGAAACTGAGCCAAGTAAAGAAGAGCGCGTAAATAAACCACTCCCTAACGATGCTGAGATGACAGAACAGAACGCTGAAACAACTCAGATAGATAAAGAACCTTCAGGTACCGACAAACCTAGGAGTGACGAGGCTGATACGAATAAAACCGCGCATGAAAGTTTAGCGCGTATCAGCGGGACGAAAATTATTCTTACCTCGAAAACGGACAAAGAAAAAAGCGCGATGGCGGCCCAGCCTAGCGCGGAACCCAAAAAGATAATCTTGAAACGACGGCGGACGGACGAGGATCCGCTTACGGTCAGATACAAAGTGGTGAAGGTCAACTCCGGTGTCGACGAAACAAAAAAACCGCAATGCGACAGTACAAGTAACCAGTCGAAAGATGACGGTGCGGCGGTTCGAGAGATGTCAACGGATGGTATAAAAAGTGAGCCCGAAAGCGATGACGACTCGAGCGATAACGAAAATCTGGCGGCCAAGATGAAGTACCTGTCGGCCTTGAATATTTCCGAGAAGACCAACGTGGCGCAGAAACAGAGAGGGAAGACGAACGAGATCAGGACGAGGTCTAAGGCGGAGGAGAAACGTGAGAAATACAGGTAAGGTTATACTAGGTCGACGTCAACTACGAGCCGTGATGAAAGAAAGGCAACACCGCGCTCGGACGGCATGGTAGTGCAACCTGTGAACGTCGGCCGCCAGCGGCTGTGTGCTCCGTCTCCGTGTAACTAAATTTAATTTTGCAAAAGAGGACAGTTCGATTCGATACAAATCGTCTGAATATGAAATAGCTCTAGAAAATTTAAAAATACGAAATAATCGTGATATATATATGAGTCGCTAATGCAGTTAACCTAATTAAAAGTATTTAGTTTACGTTTTTTGGTGTCAGCACACTGTGTTCCAACAGGCCCAGCTTGGAAATGTGGAGTTACCTGTTTGTTTTTAATACATTTACTTTCAGTTTTACTGTTATTTTTCAATTTTACATAATCATTCAAAATTATGTTTGAAAAAATAGACAAAAAAGCTTAGATAAAATATCTGCATAATTGCGGCCACAGATGCAAGTTAAAGAAAATTCACTGTATATAAAGTCGGACTGAATGCTGAGCAAGGTTAACTGACACAAAATGAATTTTTGATTATTGCTTTTCAAGAAGAAAATTTCCAATCTATCTACATTAATAATAGATTCAAAAATGGCATACATATGGTAGAATATGATTGGTACATAACTGGTTGGAATTGACAGTCCTCCTCTTTGCAAATGATCAAAATAAACATTTGTTGTTAATGAACCTTTTTCTTTAACTATTAGCGATTTGCATATCTCGCAGTTTAGGTTTTTAGAGATAGCGTGTGAAGCATATCCAGATATATAAGTCTTAGTACTATCCTCTATGTCACAATTGGCTAAGTAATTTGTCTCAAATACTTCATTGAATATATCCAAAACTTCAGAATTTTGTTTGGTATCCAAGAAATCAAAATTTTCTTGAGTTTCTAAGCAGTTTTGGAACCTTGTTTTAATTTCTGCTAAAGAAAATGACGATTTCTTTTCATTGAAAATATGCTTCAGCCGTATTTTCTTTTCAGCATTTCAAATTTCATCATATGACACATTGTAATTGCAGCCACATAAAAGTCTATAATTGCCAAATCGTTTTTCTAAATTATCAGTGGTGAATTTTCCAGGCAATACATACTCAATGTCAAATTGATTAAATGAATATTCAGTTACTTTAAGTAGAGTCAGCGTGCTTTGATATAGAGCTGTATACGTTTCTGGTGTCAGGTGTCCATTATTATTCTCTAGATTATGCCATTTTTCTAACCATATCAGGAATTTTTTTAAAAATTGTACTCTATAATCATATTTATTGGTAATAGGCTTACAAAATTCGTTTCGCTTCAATTCTCCTTTTATTACACTTGTATTACTGACAATATCCCACCAATTCCTGATTATTTCCAAAAAGTGTGCAGCATAATTAAACTTTAATTCTTTCATAGCAGCTATTGTTGAGTGATGGAATAAATTATCTACAAAATTTACATTTTGCCTTTCAAATGAATTTGGATGCAATGTTTTATAATTTAATTTATATGCTTTCTTAACTACAGCTTCTTTTTCCAATTGATATACAGCACGAATGTTTTCAAATTTAGCATACTGAATAGTATCATTATTGTCAAAATTAGGATAGTTTTGTCTAGTTTTTTTAAATTAATCCAATTATTTCTGATACTCTTGAAAATATGCACAACATCATAAGTTAAATATATGTTCTTATCAGGATTATGTGGATTTGGAATAGAATAATTTTCTGATGAATCCTTTGCTAATTTCCTGAACATTGCTCTATTAATTCGGTGATCAGTAACAACACAAATAACTTCAAATCCACATTTTTGAACTAAATTTATCTTTGATCTTATCCATATCATCGAAATTCTGGATAGCTTTTTCATGTTTCTCAATTAATTTTTGTTTTCTTTGCATTGGGTCAGTTCTTTTGGGTGCTTCAGTTTTTGAAAGATATGATGGCAAGTTTGGGAAAATGGAGGGAACAGCATGTTCTTTCAATTTTGGATATTTCAAAGGTATATTATTTTGGACTGTTCCATCCGCCAAAACTATATTTTCTGTCCTGATGATATCCGATTCTCTAAATTGACGACTGCACACAGCTGAATATTTTGAAGGTGTCCAATATTTTCTGGGAATTGCCATAAGCCATTTGTTTTTCAGACTTTCGGTACTTGGGAAGCGAAAAGTTGAAACATAGCTTTCTGTTTTCAAAGCAGAATTATAGTTTGCATTGCATAAAGGAACACAGCAACAACGAGGCATATTGTCTGCGTCAAATACTTGATAAATGAAAAAAGAAAAATACAACCTGAATTTGCACGTTTTCAATAGTTTAAATCCTTAGCGTCCTGAGGCGCGAACAGCCACAGTCGCACTTCTTAGTTTATTTGTAAAGCACATAAGCACTACAACTGGAGTCTATTTCTCATATATTATAGTCACCGATCACTTTGAACACATACACACACTTTGAAGCTTAGAAAACAAGCTTATCTCTTAATTACAGCCTCTGGGATTCCAAAATCACAAATTGAAAAGGTTATGTTTTCTCAGCGTTTTGAGCACGAGTTGCGTCGATGCAGCAAGCAGCGGCGGGAGTAACACTACCACCTACGTTCAGTCCATTGCATTTCTTATTTTATCAATTTAATTAGACTTATCAGAAAGACATTCGCTCCTCATAACAAAAATCCCATTTGTAGTCTGAAGTCGCTTTGACAACATTGAATTTAACAGTTCATTTTGCAGGACTAATAGAGTAGATAACCCAGAAATAACACTATACTTTTTGATGTATTGAATCCAAATCCGTGGTTCAAATATCTCAAATTGGCTCTAATTTTCGAGATATCCTAACCTAAAATTGCGAAAATAACGATTTTTACCCGTATTTCAGGTTATGTCGATTTTTTATTTTTTAATCATAGACATCTCAAAGTACAAGCCTTGCCTTTCAAATCAGTTTGCTTAAATATATTTTTCTTTCTCCGAGCCATGGCACTTTGAAATTTTCATTTTTCTGATCTAGATCGGTTCAGCTTTTATCAGAAGAAAGTATTTTCTTTAAATGCACAACCGAAATTGAGAACGTTAAACTCAGCGTTGACATGGTAGGGTGTGTTGAGGACCTGTTATTTGTCGTAATTATTTTAGATATTTCATTGATATTTTAGATATTTTTTAAGGGTTTTTTCACTTAACAGGTTTTATTTCTTAAAAATACTGTAACGAAAACATCGTTTCTACTACTTATGGCGAATTTATTCCTCCCTCACTTGCAACTAATTTATTACGAATTTATAACCACGTCGACTGGACTCCACGCTGTCCGCTGTCCACTACTGGACTCTGCCGTTGTGCCCTCATGGCACCAATTTCTGTTCAAAAATTAGCCAATCCAGAGCTTTCCAGCGCTTCAACGATGTTTCTGACGATGCTGATCAACACTTCTCGAACGCTCCCGATGTTGACCGATCCATCTCGATGATGCTCCAATCTATACCATCCTTGGTGCACGGTGGCGTAACGCTGGTTGCCTACCGGTCAATATAGCGAGGGCGTCTCATCATTACTCAATTTTTTATAAAATTTGTGGTGTATCATAATCCAAATTGATCCACACATGATCGTAACGTGTAGTGTATCAAATATAGAGAAATTCAGAAAAAAAGGATATTTAAGCAGACTCAACAGCATTTGGAAGGGTAAGAGACTTGTACTTCGAGATGATATCTATGGTTTTTTGAAATAAAGTAATTCGACACGCTACATAACCTCAAATTTAGGCAAAAATCGCTATTTTCGTACTTGTAGGTTAGGATATCTCGGACACTAACCAACCGGAAGATTTTGATAACGCGTCAAAAACTTTCGGGAAGTATACTCTGGCTTTTGGGTAAAAAATCCTGATCTAAGAGTAATGATATGCGCAAAAATAGAAAACTATAATATAGGCAAAATCACGAAAGATGACTATTACGTCATACTCTGAAGTGTAATGGAGTAATCAATGGACGTACATCGATGATAAAATCACGATGTCAGGAACATAATGACAACAAATTTATATTATGATTTTGCGAAGTTAGGTTATTTTACTGATTATTTTTATTTTCATTTTATTTCATGGTTTTGAGTGAAACCTTCATAATAATTTTACTGGGGAGTTTTTGTTTTGAAAAAACTGTTATGAGTAGATTACCTCAATACAGGAACACGTTTGTCTTTACTACAGAATAAAATAATGAAGCGATTTATGGATATTTTTAATGAAGTTTCAGATATGTTAGACAGAAACAAACTGAATTTTATTGTCTAAACAAACTGTATTGCTAATTTGCATGTATCCAACAAAGATAGATGATGTTTTCATGTTGCATGATCGATCATATTTGAAAGATGAATAGTTAGGTTAAGTTAAAGCAGGTTAGGTTGTTTTCGAATAATACTTTGGTTTTTGGTGTTCCTGTCTTAAGGTATTCTACTCTGTTTTTTTTTCAAAGCAAAAACTCCCCACTAAAATTATTATTAAGGTATCACTCAAAACCATGAAATAAAATGAAACAACAATAATCAGTGAAATAACCTAACTTCGCAAAATCATAATATAAATTTGTTGTCATTATGTTCCTGACATCGTGATTTTATCATCGACGTACGTCCATTGATTACTTCGGTACAATTTATGGGATGACGTAATAGTCATCTTTCGTGATTTTGACGATACATTTGAAATTAGTATTTTTGCTTTAAGGGCGCTGGACAACGTTAGCAAGGTAATTGAAGAAGTGGCGATGAACAGCGCGAAAGAAGAGAAACAGAGGGCCGAAAATAAAAAAGCCGCGTCGGTGCCCGAGGGAGAGATATACGTGAAATCGTTCGCGAAACTGGGCGGTACGCATCCAACCCAGCAGAGGGCGCGCAAGTCGTTTCCGGTACCGACATACGCGAAACCCAAGACCGTCGTTCTTGCCAAGAAGGATTCCCAGCAGTCTCAAGTCGTGTCCGTCTCAAATAAAAAGGATGTTCAAAAGGTAAGTGTGAACTGGTGCACACACATTTACATGCCGTCAGAATTCATCTTTGCGGGCTTGTCGGTATCACTTGCCAAGAAAATTTGTTGTTTCGGGTAAATTCTTGTCACAGGAAGGAAAAAACGTTCTCTAACTTTTTTTTGTCTACCATTGATCAGGTCCCTGTGTTCTCCAGGTTTTTCCGGTTCCACAAATTTGTCGTCCGATCTATACAGTAGCATCGTGGTCGGTGATGTACATGGTGTTTCTTAAGTTTCAATATTTGAGAGCGCTGTTTTTGAGTCTATTTTAAGAAGAAAACATAATGAACGTCTTAACTTTTGAGATACAGGATAAAGTTTTCAAAAATAAATCATTCATACTTACGAGGTTTGTCAGGAAAATTCACATCTTCTCGGCCTTCTCGAAACCTTTTCAACCACTTGTTGACGGTTGGTGCCTTCAGAGAATTCACTCCGAAAACTTATTCCAAACACTCAACAATCTCACGACCATTCTTGCCTAGCTTTGGAAGAAACTTCATGTTGATGCGCTCTTCTTATATGGCAAAGGAGATCCGGTTGTAAAATGATCCTCATACTTTAGGTACCTGCGTCTACAACGCAGCCTGTGCACAGCATAGTAGTATCGAAACCTGCAAGTACGAGTACCGTCAACAGTACCGTCGGCAAACCGACGATGGTGAAACTGCCGGGTGCCGCAGGTAGTACCCCTGTAAACGCGATACAGATGTCCAAACAGCAGATAGAAGCAAATATGAACGGAGGTGGAATGTCGCAGATTATTCTGTTTCCGACCAGTTCCGGCTTGGCTGGGTATGGCGGAATGGTGAATACTCTTTTCACAGCGGTAAGTATTAAGAGATGATATTAGCTTGTTCGGAAAGTTCTTGCGGTTTTTAACCTTCAAATTCAAAGGAACATATCTCGGCTTTAACAAAACCTTTTTAATGAAAATTAGAATCAGTACACTTTACCAACGAGAAACAAGTTTATTTACGCAGCTAACGTAGAAATCTGGAGCTCTGGAGCCGATGAACTCATTGAAGGCATTTTTGGCATCGTCATTATTATTGAAGCATTTCTCGCGAAGGAAGCTGTCAAGGTGTTTGAAAAAGTGGTAGTCGGTGGGCGACAAATGTAATGGATGAGGCAGAATTTCTTTGCCCAATTCGTTCAGCTTTTGCAAGGTCGGTTTTGCGACGTGTGGCTGGGCGTTATCATAGAGGAGAACACCATTGTGTCGTATGTTCTTTGGTGGTTCCTTGGCCCAAAGGATCGTTTTATCGTGAGCTGTCTCTGCAGTTTTTCGACCTAATTTGAACTGGAATAATAAAAACGCGCGAATTTGCCTCTAGTCCATCCTATATTTGAAATCTTAAAAAAACAAATTATCGACAGACAAAACGAATACAACGACTAGATAGAGCGAAAAACGCGCTTTAAAATGATAAATAGTCGGAGTATTTTAAATAAATATTTTAGGTTAAAATACATCATTTAAAATATAAATAACAAAAACCTAATATACCGGAAGTAATATAGTGATATATTTTTCAAATATATCATAGTACTATTTACTTTTGCTTCGTGGTAACTAAACCTGTCTAATATGCCCAAAAAAGAAGCAAATCCAAACGTTTTATGGAGTAAGACAACACAAAGTGGCATTTTGACAGAATCGATCATTCTCGCAGTGCGCTAATAATCTCAGATAATGTGGGGAATTTTTTTTTGTTCTCACCAATTCAGAAGACTTAATAAATATTACATACCCTTGACAATGGTTGCCAGATGTATCTTTTTATTGTTTAAGATTTATTTAGGATGTTTGTTATAATTATACTAAGTGACATATAAATCCGAACACCCAGTTTAAATGGTTTTATTTTAATAAAATTTTGTATAAGTACTTAATGAAGCATAATAAGTAAATGATAAAAATTTCAAAATGATTGCACTGCTTTAAAGCCCTTTGACCTTTAATAATGTATGGATGCACCCTGATGTGCTACGCATTCTCCAACGCGCCTAGGCATGCTTCTGATCAGGTGGTCAATGTCCTCCTGTGGTATCTCATTCCAGGCAACCACCAACTCCTCTCGAAGTGCTTCTAGAGTCTGAGGAGGACGTTGCAAATTGAGCAATCTCCTACCCATCATATCCCACACGTGCTCAATTGGGGATAAGTCGGGAGATCTTGGTGGCCATGGTAACAATGTGACATCATTATGTTGAAAGAAGTCTATTGTGACTCTTGCAACATGTGGTCGGGCATTATCTTGTTGGAAAGTTGGATCTGCCATGGTGTCAAGATAGGGTAAAAGATGGGGTTCTAGAACTTCGTGGATATAACGCTGCGCGTTCAAGTTACCTCTGATGAAGATTAAAGGTGACCTGGAACCATAAGCTATAGCACCCCAAGCCATAACTCCAACAGTGTGATGAACATGTCTTTCAACAAAAAACTGTGGATTCCTCCTCTCACCACGTCTCCTTCTAACCCTGGCACGACCATCGTGCATGCCTAAACAAAATCGAGACTCGTCACTAAAGACAATACTGTTCCATTCCTGATCCCAGAGTGACCGTTGTCTGCACCACTCAAGGCGATTACGTCGGTGTTCTCGAGTTAAAGGGAGGACCCAGTATGGCCGGTATGAAAACAAGCCAAAACTTCTCATTAGTCGGTAAACACTTCGCATGCCAATAGGTCTTCCGTGTTCTGCAAACCATTCATTTGCAATGGACCTGGTAGTGGAGAAACGGTCCCTTAAGGCCAATAATCTTAGGCAGCGATCTTCACGGTCTGTTGTTCTACGGCGGCGTCCAGTGCCCCTTGCTCTTTGCGTACGGCCTTCTCGAAGCCATGCCTGACAACACCTAACCACAGTGTCTACACTTCTTTGCACTCTAACTGCAATTGCCCGAAAAGAAAGTCCAGCTTCCCGAAGTCCCACTATACGGCCTCTATCAAACTCACTAAGTTGACGAAATCGTACAGGTCTCCGTACTCTAGGCATCGTAACCGATCGTAAAAGATGTCAAGAACCAAAATCCGCCACTGCGGCTGAAATATTCATTTTTAGAGCGTTAGTGAATTAAAAAAAAAGCAGTATAAAAACCGGAATGTCCAACTGATAAGGCTGAAAATTTTTTCACTTGTTATTTACAGTAAGATAAATACATTCACCAACTTTTATTAAAATAAAACCATTTAAACTGGGTGTTCGGATTTATATGTCACTTAGTATATGTGTATCGTCCGCAAATATTTAAATTTTGCAGTGTTCTAAAATGTCAAAGATATCATTTATATAAATAATAAATAGTAACGGCCCTAATTTACTCCCCTGAGGCACCCCTACTGATATATTTTGAGCACTTGACATATTTCCAACCTTAGTTTTTTGACTTCTATCTACTAAATAATGTTGTAAAATGTGTAATACTGATCCTTTAAAGCCATAGCGACGCAATTTCATTAACAATTTTTCCATATCTATAGTCTCAAACGCCCTTCTGAAGTCTGAAAATATTGTTACAATATATTCTGTCTCATCTATACTTCTTCTCCAGTCTTCCACCACCATTTGGATCGCCGTTTCTGTGGAACATTTTTTCCTAAATCCAGCTTGATTTTATATCAAAATTTCGGTTTCTTCAATGAATTCTATGATTTGTTCGTATATCATCCCTTCGACATCGGGCAAGACATTAATCGGTGGCAGGAAAAAACAAAAGTCCGCCCCAGAGATGGTTAAAAAGCGTTTGTGTCAGCGAAGGCTGGCAAATCTTGTCAGAAAGAATGAATAATTCTCGAAACTTTTTAAAGACATTAGACAATCTCGTCCAACAGGTTCCATCATCCGTGCTTTCTTCGCCGTCTTCAGCTCAATCGGGCACTGCAGTGCCACCGTTGGTAGCAGCCTCCGGCAGCCCGGCGTTGCCTAAGCCGAACGTAAGAGCTTCGCAGAACTACATCCCGCAACATGAAATGGATGGCTTGAATTCGCCAGCCGCATCGCCGAACGTCATCCTCAATGATCTGCTCAGTCAGCCTCTGTCGCAGGCGTTGGGGACAGCAGCTGCTGGTACCCCACAGGTGAGGTCGACTTCCGATTGCCTATGAATTTTCAACAGAAGTTTTTTGCCGCTATGCTCAGGAGAAATGTTTTATTAGAATTTGATCTGGGAATACTGAAAAGAGGCAAAGAGCTCCTGCTCGAAATTCAGATATTACTGGGATGACACATCAGGGTAGCGGACATCTGAACTTCGCCTTTCACCAAACTCTTTTTTTTTATACAAATGAATGTTTATTCGTTGATGTTTGGCGAATAAAGACGTTTATTATTATTATTATTATAATTGAAACTTAAATAATGATTCACAAGTCGTGACCAAAAATGAGACATCATACACAGGAAGGCATTTTAAGGGGGTCTTCTATGTAACATTTTTCTAAACCGTCAACTGGAATTAACTAAAATTTGGTATGTGGATTTGCTCAAGTATTGTCCAGATTCAAAAGTCTTTACCCAAAATCTACGTGCACCAGTGACGGAGATACAGGGGATTAGTGGCATTATTTTTCCAAAAAAAAATAATACGCCTCTGTTTTTTTTTTGAACCTGCAATTTTTCGAATTTTGCCTTCGATTTGCTACAAATAACTCTTGTGTTTTTTCCTAGAGTGCATTGTTTTCGTAAAAATATAAAACAAATTAGATAACACTGGACAACAAATTTTAGTTTTTTAATTGTATCTTGTGGGAAAAGTGCACTTCTTTGTTAATTTTGGGGCGCTGAATCCAAAAATGACAATGAAATAAAAAAATTAGTTGCGGTTTAGAAAAAAAACTTTTTATTTTTAAGGATATATTAAAAAAAGTAACAAGATTCATATACTTATAAGAATCACTATATGCGCTGTCTTTTTGCTGTTCTTTTATGGATCGTTTCTGGAGCATCTCTACCAAGAGTCCAACAGTAGTCTGCAAGCATGGAAGGATTCCACTTTCCCTGGTACCTTTTTTCCATTGTTGAAATATCCTGATGAAAACGTTCGCCGTGCTCATCACTTACGGCTCCGCAATTGTCAGGAAAAAAGTCCAGGTGTGAGTGTAGGAAATGTATCTTAAGAGACATATTACAGCCAATCTTTTGATACGATGACAGCCTATTTTTGACAAGGGTTTTATAGTTGTCAGCTTTTCTATTTCCCAAGAAATTAGTGACCACCAGACGGAAATCATTCCAAGCAGTTTTTTCAATACCTGTTTTCAAACTGTGTATCTTTCAAAATATTTCGAATCTGTGGCCCAACAAAAATACCTTCTTTAACCTTTGCCTCACTTAGTCTTGGAAATTTCTGACGCAGGTATTGATAAGCTGACCCATCTCTATCTAATGCCTTGACAAAGTTTTTCATTAGGCCCAACTTGATATGCAGTGGTGGTAATAAACTTTTTTTCGAATCTACTAATGGCATATGCTGTACATTTTTTTGACCTGGCTCTAGGAATTGACGAACAGGCCAGTTTTGTCTGGTGTAATGAAGTGCCTTTGCCCGACTGTCCCATTCACACAAAAAACAGCAAAACTTTGTGTAGCCTAGCTGCAGCCCAAGTAAAAGTGCAACAACTTTCAAATCGCCACAAATATGCCATTGGTGCTCATCGTATTTTATGCATGTCAATAGGTACTTCATATTGTCATATGATTCTTTCATGTGAACTGCATACCCTACAGGAAGAGATGGTAAAATATTTCCAATATGCAATAACACTGCCTTTAAACTCAATGTTGAACTGTCTATAAACAATCTCCATTATTCTGGGTTATAGTTTATATTTACAGCCGCCAGTAAGCCGTTAATGTTACTGCAGAAAACCAAGTTATTCTCCATATTGAAAAATGGTTCTAAGTCTTTGTGGCGTTTACGAAAAACACATACCGAAACATCGTCTTCTAACAAGTTCCACTGCTGCAGTCTTGATCCAAGTAACTCTGCTTTACATTTTGGAAGTTCTAAATCTCTTACAAGATCATTTAATTCTGACTGTGTTAATTTGTGCGGTTGGTGGCATGATGTGCTCGGTATAAAATCAGGATCTGTTGACGTTGATGGCATATCTTCTTCCTGACGAATCATTCGATCGCCATGATCTGATTCGTTTTCTGATTCGCAAGTTAGGATTCTGGGGGTTTTGGAATAGGATTTTCGTCACTGTGAGGCACAGGTCTCATCGCAGATGGTATGTTTGGGTAGTTAATAACCGATTTTTTTTTTCTTGGGCATACCTGTGGCTTGTCCAACACAAGGTACCATGCAAAAGTAACAATCATTAATATGATTTGTAGGCTCTCTCCAAACCATTGGGACAGCCAAGCGCATAGACCGTTTTTTGTCATTTAACCAGCTCCTCAGACTTGAAGCACATGTATTACAGCAGATGTGGGGTGCCCACTGTTTGTCTTGATCACCTAGTTTACAACCGAAATAAAGCTGATATGCCTTTGTTATTAGTGGAGTAATAGACCGTCTCTGAGACGCAAAAGTCGCATCACCACACACGTAACAAAACTGATCTGGATTGTTTACACACTTTCGAGACATCTTGCATGAACGCTGTCAGCCAACTGAGGAAAAAATGGCTAATATAAAACAATATAATGTACACGTATGTATAACGTAACACAATCATGCCGATTACATCATCTTTCCTTGCCGAATATAAAAATGTAGCACGTGCATTCTTGTGAATTACAGTATATTAACACTGTCACAGCAGGAACACATATAATTACCGTATCTCTAAAACTTGAACTAATATTGAAAAAATAAGTTTCATTCCGTTTTTAGCACATTAAAAACAGTAATATTTTGTTGATTTTATTTAGGATATTTTTTGGCTGTTGATTAGTGATTGTGAACGTTTCGTGTAAAGTGAATGCACGTTTCCCACTTTTCGACATGTTTATAACTCTAATAAATACAGTATAATACCGGTGGAAAAGTTCGAACGCAAACGGCGAAGCCAAACCGCCGTAAATGATTGCATCAGCTAAATATGCTTCGGGGAATTACCAAAATAGCTCGCATATAATGGATTAAAATAGTCCGGTATAAGCAAGGTCTATTAAGCGAGAATATCCGAGGATTTTACATGCAATTATTTATAGGACCTTAAATTATGTCCGTTATATACGTGTTTCCGCTTAAGCAAGTTCATTTTAAGTAGATTCCACTGTAGATGTGAATTGGCGCAATGTTTTGTCACACGTGGTAGCTATAGTATTGGAGCTGTCTTCTAAATTTTACAGTACTTCTAATAAGGTGCTTATTTATGAATGTATGATTTCAAACCTTGTTTCAGAGCTCAAAGTCCGATTGTGCTCAGTCAACATCCGAAACGCCGGACGCTTCTACGCCTACCCCCTCCGCTACCCTGACGTCACCACCCGCACCATCCGCGGAACCACCTGCGCCGGCTTCCGGTACAACCGGCGCCGCCGCAGCCGAAAACCCAGACGAAGACGAATTGGCGACGTTGCACAGCGTGCTGCCTGAAAGCCTGAGCAGAGCCGTCAGCGAGCTGCTGTTGAAACCGCCTCCTAGATTGAAACCTCGGCCGCCCGGCATGCTGAGTGCTGTCTTCGACGAGGGAACGCCGAGTTCGGCGGGCTGTGTGACCAGTAGGATTAACTCGATCGCTCACAGGGTGAGTTAATGCTCTTATATACAGGCTGTTAGAAAAATAGACGGAGATATTTTAGAGGATGATATACAGGGTGATGAACTTGTTGTTTTCTTATAGATGGGAGATTATTTCCGCGGTATGTTAATAGAAACCCTAGAAGATTTAGGAAAGTGCCAGAATCCGGAAGCGAGGATAACCAGTTTACAATTAGAAATGGAAGCTTTAAAACACAAACATAGTTTAGAATTATCCGAGATGCGGAATAACATTTGCACGATATTGAAAGATATTCAAAAAAGTTTAGCGGAAGATAGGGAAAGAATAATCGACGAAACTAGATCGGCCTGCGAAGCGGAAACAATCAAGAGGGTGGAGCTGGCCAAGTCGAAGCAATGGTAAGTTACCAATATTTTCTAACACATAGCAAAGCACATTTAGAAATAGAAAAAGGTGTCGAACATACTCCATTATCAGCAGCATCCCAAATATCATATTTGTAAAGTATCTAGCTAAAAAAACAATTACGATATAATAGGTCAAAAGTAAGTTTATCCTTTACTGATACAGTTCTTCCCTGTTTTATTGCTCGTCTTTGAAATTCGTACATTGAAAGAGAATTAGTTGTTTCTTCTACAAAATAAGACGTTTGATCAAGGTCTTCAACAGTTTATCTGGAACTGTAATTCAGTTGCCTAAGAATAAGGAAAGGAACGTAGAATTTCGTCTAAATGTCAAATACGATACCGTCACCGTCAACTCAAACGTATTTTGACAGAAAAATGTGTTCTGGCAGAATCAAATTTGAAATCGTTTGAAACTAGTGTTTTGACAACGTATTCGCATTGAAGGAATTCACAATTGGGTGTCAAACCGTTGGAAATGTGATGCTGATACTAAAGAGAACTCATTTAAATCATCTTAATTCCCTATCGATGGAAAGAAAGTCGGGTTATTGTCGCGTATGCTGTGGAATGTGATCTAAAATGGGCCTTCCTTCGAGTAATCTATTTAAGTTATTTGTTTGTTTCAGATTTATTTAGCATTAATGCTACAATATCCATATTACACAGTATATCACAAAATATATTATCTCTTCAAGACTACATATTTTCATACAAAATTACCCTATTTATCTTAAGGGCTCACCTTTCTTCAAAACACCTTTTTCGACTGTTCTAATTGATTCCAGGTGCGCGAACTGTTCGAAAGAAGCCCAATTCTACTGCTGCTGGAACACGTCGTACTGCGACTACCCGTGCCAGCAGAAGCACTGGCCGCAGCACATGGGCAAGTGCACGCAGAACGTCGAGAAGAGCGGCGGGAGCGGCGCATCGACGACGCCGGCGGGCGGAGCTTCGACCGGAGGGGGCGGTCCGCCTACGGCTCCGCCTCAACGGCCTCCCGGTCAGCAGCTCATCCTGCGGCCCGGCGTTGCCAAGTCGGGTGCGGGCGGAACGCAAGCAGGTGTCGGGGTGAGTTTCTATGTGGTCAGATGCGGCGCTGCCGGGAAGGTGGAATGATGGGAGGTGCATGGCTTGGTGATTGGGTTTTTGGGGGCGATGTAGATGGTTCGGATGCTATGTTTTGGATTTATCGATAAGTTTCCGGAGGATCGAAGGATTTTATAGATTTCTGCCAAAGTTATTTCACTAATTGTCCAAGGCTAGTTTTTTGAGGAAAATATAACTGACAATTTAGTAAAAGTAAGTGAGGTACACAAAATTTATCTTAGGCGTTCACATTTTTTTTTGCCGAAGCCCGAACGTGTGGCCGAACATGTATTTTTTAGCTGAAGGCTCAGTGTGAGGTCGAAGATCATTTTTTTTTACGAAGAAAGAATGCGTATCCGAATGTGTGACCGAAGGTCTATTTTTGTCCGAAGGGCGAATGTATATTTCTTTACCGAAGGCAGAATTCGTGTCCTAAGATCGAAAGTGTGGCCGAAGGTCTATTTTTTGCCGAAGGCTGATTGTGTGGCCAATAACCTTTTTTTGGCTGAAGGCTCAATGAGTGGGCGATGACCTATTTGCTGCTGAACGCCGAATCTATGGCCGAAGGTCTATTTTATGGCCAAAGGCTCTAATGTGGCTAAATATCTATCTTTTGGCGGAAGGTTAAATTTGTGACCGTAGATCTATTTTTGCCGAACGCTGAATGCGTTGTCGATGGTTTATTTTTCCTTCGAAGGCCGAATGCGTAGCCGGAGGTCTTTTTTTGGCCAAAGGCTTAACGGGTGGCCGAAAGTCTATTTTTTGGCTGAAGGCCTAATTTGTGGGCAAAGATCTATTTTTTGGCCTAAGGCTCAGTGTGTGTTAGAAGGTCCTTTTCGCCCGAAGGCTCAATGTGCGGGCTCAGATATACTTTTTTGTCAAATGCCTAATGCGTTGTCAAGGATCGACAGTGTGGCCGAAGGTCTATTTTTTGCCGAAGGCCGAATTTGTGACCAAAAACCTTTTTTTGGCTGAGGGCTCAATGAGTGGGCGACAACCTATTTTTTGCCGAAGGCCGAATGTATGGCCGAAGGTCTATTCTTTGGCCAAAGGCTCAAATGTGGCTAAATATCTATCTCTTGGCCGAAGGTCTATTTTTTTGTCGAAGGCCGAATGCGTGGTTGGAGGTCATTTTTTTTTAGGCCGAAAGCAGAATGCGTAGCCGAAGGTCGTGTTTTAGGCTGAAGGCTCAATTTGTGGCCAAAGATCTATTTTTTGGTCGAAGACTCAATGTGTGGTCGAGGCTTATTTTTTCAAGTCCACGCATTCGTAGCCGAAGGTCTATTTTTTGTCATAACTCAATGTGTGTTCGAAGGTCTCTTTTGCCCGATGGCTCAATGTGTGGGCGAAGGTCTATTTTTTTGCCAAAGGCCGAATGTCTATTTTTTGGCCAAAGGCTCAAAGGTGGTTAAATGTCTATCTTTTGGACGAAGTTAAATTAGTGGGCGAAATACTATTTTTTTTTCGAAAGCCGAATGTGTGGCCGGAGGTCCATTTTTTAGGCCGAATGCATAGCCGAAGGTCTAGTTTTTGGCTGAAGGCTCAATTTGTGGGCAAAGATCGATTTTTTGGCCGAAGGCTCAATGTGTGGCCGAGCCCTATTTTTTTAAGACCGAATGCGTAGCCGAAGGTCGAATGTGTGGAGAAAGGTCTATTTTTTGTCATAAGACTCAATGTGTTTGAAGGTCTTTTTTGCCCGAGGGCTCAATTTGTGTACATTCGAGAATTGTTGAATGCAAATCAATCGACGCACTTCTGTGCAGAGAACTATAACTTTATTTAATAGAAGTAAAACTGAAATCTGTCCAAGTATAAATCGAAAATGATTGGATTAAATTTGAAATATAGCATTCGAATCAAGATGTCTGTATTACAAAAATAAAATCAGTATTTATTAATTGTCGTTGGCTTGGCAAAGAAATAGTTGCAATCGGAGTTTAAAATACTTGAAACTTTTTGTCCTTTTGATTAATCCTTTATTTTGATACTTATTTCTTTGTCGAGCAACTCGCTTTTGTTATTGGTCAAGTTGTTTTGTTTCCATTATTTTTATGGTGTTTTGTTTTAAGTTTTAAGTGTAATGTAGATTATCTTCAATAAACATTTATTTTGGTTGCTGATGATAAATGCATTATTATTTGTTGATGGATGATCTTATGAAAAGTGCAAGTTAAATTAGTAGATACTTTCTTGATCTTGATATTTGAAACTTTTTCTGAGAGATACTCTCAAAGTGACAAAAATCGTATGTGTTTCTATAATATGTGTTAAAACTTACACTGTACAAGTCTGGTATTCGTCATGTTTTGATAACTCTTCCGTCATCATCTAACTGTAATTTTTATTTTGGTTTGAATGTTATTTTTTTGTCTGGTTGCGTAATTGACAACATTTATATGTTGTGTGTTGCAGAGGTTCGTTACAAAACCGACTAAGGTTTACATGAACAAGGCGCCAGGGCCTCAAAAGACTTTCAAGGTATGTACTGTTGCATATTACAAACACTCAACCGAATATGCTAATCATATTCAATCTTAAATATACCAATATTTCAAAATATTAAATATAGCGTCTTGCACTGCCTTATTTTCCATCTATGAAAATCCAAGAGAGGAGTTGAAATTTGCATCTAATATCCCACATTTAAATGCGATATCTCTGGATATAACGTACCCCAAGAACCATTTAAAATATCGTATATGATACTCATCATTCAAGTGATAGTCATATGTGCCATTCTGTAGAGTTTTTCTTTGTCAAGGCTCTTCAGTACCCTCATATGCCCTGTAGAATATCAACCGTATTTCTGATTTGCGAAGGCAAAAAGTATTTTATACTTTTTTCTAATAAACCGCTTGAGAAAATATCGGATATCTAGCGTATTTCATTTGATGTTACAAAATACCCTATAATGATAAAAAAACGACACTAGTCCTTGTCTGACTCAGAAATGCACATCTTACGACAATTCTCAAGCTCGCGCTGGGTACTGGAAGTCTTATCTTCAAAAATTCATTAGTCGCGATAGATCACATCTAAACTTGTACGGCACTTTTCCCACGATGCACGACCGAATTAGTAATTTATTTTTTCCGAAAAAAGAATATCATCTTTCCCTTCAGACATTGACGACTAGCGGCAACCACATAACCGTCATCGAGACATCTCCCGGTCAATTCGAATTGGTCGGCAACGGTCCCATTGCGGTAGCCGGAAAGATATACTCGCCCCCTGGCGGCATGCATCCGAAGTACAAGAGCGGTGGTGGGGTGCCGATAGCGCCAGCCGCACGGCAAGGAGTTCCACAGCTGTCATCCGCGCCTGGAACCTCGAAGGGCCACACGGCTATGGAGGAAGATAATTAGCGGTTATGTAGGAAGACGACTTGAGCGTAAATTCAGGTTAAGTGACCTGGAGCACACCGTACCTGTAAGACGTTTCACACATGTCATCCCCAGGACGTCAGAGGGACAATCAATGGAAGAGGACAACTAGAAGTTTGATGAGAAGTCCTGGATACATAGGGCAATCAATCCGTTTACCATTTTTTTGCTCAATGAGAAAATTCTAAAATTTTTCAGATTTTTAGAATTCTGAAAACTGAAATTTAAAGTTGAAGGAACGCAGTTGAGTGGCCAATACTTCCCGGGCGATGATGAAATCAAAGAGAAGCTAAAACGTTTCCTCATCGGATGACCTCCAAGTCATTGAGATAAAGAAATTAGGATTCCGTATACAAAAATGCGTAGAAAGGTCCATATTTCCAGTGATGTAAAAAACAATGTTTTATATGTTTAAAATCGATGGGAATCATATTTCTGTTTCAACCCTCGTATACTAATATAGCATTTATTCAAATAGAATCGTATTTACTGGGTGTTTAATTTCCTTCATCACTGAGTATATTTAAGCGTTTCCTACATTATTCAGATAAAATGTGTTTTATATTCGATGGACAGAGCATGGATCGTACTACAGTACCACAAACTATGCATTTGTTTAACATGTAGCTCAAAAATAATTACCCCACAAAAATGGAATTTAAAAACGGAAGTAGACGTTTCCTTTATTTAAACAATACGTACGGTATTTTTGTATCTATTAATTGTATTAGGAAGAGACTGATATCGGTGCAGACAGGGAGATCCAATCCAAATGAATCTAGGCACAATTTTGCATGGCCTGTCTCACTCCTCTTTGGATATGCAGGTTCTAATGTACCGTTGATACACGCGGTTTGAAAAAACGTGAAACTTTTTTCACGTCGGGCGAATCCTAAAAAAAATGCTCTAGGAAACTGATGCCTTTAAATCACTTTTCAAAATCAGAATCGTTATGGGATCGATTCATTGCTGTAAATAGAACGTTAAATTGTTTTGAAAAATGATTTCAAGTTATTTTTTGTTTTGTACAATCAGTTATATTTAAGCAATCCACCATAATATCTCAAGTATGTAGTAGTAGTTATATATACTTATTACATAAATTTAGGTGGTACTATTTTACGAGTATACCCCATTTCACGAGTATCGATCACGATAGGATGACAGCTGATTAAGTAGTAACATTTCAAAATTCCCCATATCGACAAATGACACAATTCTGACGGATCCGTCAACGTCGGGAGTCGTATTTTGTTTTGTAAATGTCACTTGCTGATCACCTCAATGCACGTCAAAGCGTGATGGATACCGTTCTTCAACATAATGGTAAGTTTGGATGTGATAAAAAAGTTGAAATTTGTTATGTTTATTTCCCCTTGTTAGTGATATCAGTTTCACTGACCGCATGTCTGTTACTTTATATGCAAAAAACGAATGTTATTTTATATTGTGACTATTGACATTTTTTTAGTGTGGTGTCTGATCTATTTTGCTCCAGCCAAGAAATTTTCTCCCAACTGTTTTCATTATATATAGAAAACAGAGTATAAATCGAATCAAACAAGATTTGACACTTGTTCCATGCTTATTCTTTTCATTGTATGTATGAGTTGTATATCTTTTTTCTTCTGTTTAGTATATACTTTAGGCGGTCTTAAGAGTTCTTATTTTTCTCATGATAAACCAACATTTCCTGTACATATTTAGATGTTGGAAAGCGATCTGACTTTCATTGATTGTATTTGTAAATATAAGTAAGCATTAGTTATATAACGACTGATTTTAGTTGTATAACTGTTTAATAAGTGTATATGTGTAAGTTATACTTTCTGGAAAGAAAAAAACTTTAGTTCACGATTTTTATGATCAGAGTATTCTTATGTATTGATAGTTTTTTTTTTATTAGTATGTATAATTTCGTCATATTTTGTAAATAAATCATTTGAATTACACTATGCTTTATTCAGATTCCGAGCTGATAAAATCTAGACAATAAAAACACGAAACTAGGAGAATGGAGACATGAATTTGATTCACATTTCAAATATTAGGTACATAGGACAGACGCAGAACCATTTAGAAGAGAATGAACAAAGTATTTAAAGTAGGCGTGGCTAGCGGATAGTAGTGCCACACCTCGTTTTTTAACAGGCCACGCCTATTTTCCAACTTTTGCTATGGGAATCTGCTCACAGTCGAGCACCCCTCCCTGTCACTGTCAAAAATGTTTTTATTGTGGTGGCAGAATCTGGATTTAAAATCTAAATTAAAAAAAATACTACAAACGGTAAACATCTATTTCGATAATTATTATAAAGAAGGGCCCGAGTAAAGATAACATGGCCACGCAAGACAACTATTGAAATATACTCTAGAAGACTATCCGTAGCGAACTTTTTCTCGAAATTGTTGCACACTGCAAATGAAGATCGGAAACTGCCGCTTTGACGTACTAAATGAGCCGTCGTTACCCCGGGATAGACATACGTTTTGGCATTTGATCTTGTTACCTAGATTGTGGCGTTACCAGCTAGAATGTTATAAAAAAGGAGCAGCAGTAACATTAACCTCACGAACGATATTTTCTTCAAGAGCTAAGTTGCGGGTTGTTTGCTGCTGATCCTGCTGCTCGGAATCTCCGCACCCACGAAAAAATCGGTTCTTCACTGCACGCAGAACAATTAACAAGGTGAAACAAGTATCCAAAGTAGGCGTGGCTAGCGGGTAAGAGTGCCACACCTCTTTTTCAGGAGACCGCGCCTATTTTCCAACTTTTGCTATGGGAATCTGCTCACAGGCGAGCAGTATCTGTCACTGTCAAAATCCTAGGTAAACGTCAAAAATGTTTTCTAGGTTGAGGTTATCTACGTGGAACTTCCTTATAAATTAGTGATTAGTTTGTAATTTAGAATAAAGAGATGGCTCCAAATCGGAAAAATATCGAAGACATACTTGCCCGTGTAAATTTTCCTCTATACACCGTCCAATTATTGACTCCAAGACATGTTATCGTCGGGGGAGGTGGTGGAACGTCGAAAACAGGCGTTGCAAATGGTTTTGTAAGTACAAACATAAGGGTTTCTTGATTTAGCTATAAGAGTACTTATTTAGAAAGTTCTTGGTGCGTGTGCAAGCTTGAATTGGTGATTTATATAGAGCGACAAAGAACGGCTAGGTAACTCCTCTAGGTAGTAAGTAAATATTCAACTTTGAAGTTGTTTAGTCAATTTACTCGAGTACCCTCTGACATTACCTCAATAGTTACTGGTTGCTTATGTATCAAGCAATGAAATATAATAGGCAACAAAACAGCCCATATGGTGGATCAGCAGGTATAGTGACACCAACCTTATGGAAAAATTGATCATCTTCTGATGTGGAACTTGGTAACAAGCACAACAAAGGTTTTTTGTCTTGGTGTAATATAAGTATAGTTCAAAAATAAGGTCTTTCATATTTGTCACATATTGGCATATGAGGTCTTCACTAGCTTCCTGGAAGAGCATATACTCCAGGAATACAATGATATATATATATATAACTTGAGACGTGGTCATTGTCGTTTAGACCAGCTAGGTGAAAAATAAAGCTTCCGTCTTTTGTTGGGCACTTCGACAAAATTCAAGCAAAGAGGACTCTGTATACTTTATTAATCTCTAGCTTTTGATGGACTTTGCCATCTTCGTCTGGAGCTGCAATAACATTGAGAAGAAATAGTAACTATTGTGCAAAATGATTTTAAATTAACTTACAGTCATTTGTGAGATTGTTGCTAAATTTTATATATATATATAGTATGTTGCAACAGCTGGAGCATAAAAATAAAATGGCACCACTAGGTTAGAATTGCCTGATATGAATGCCTTGATCAATGATATTACTAGTCCAAATGCTATCTGATTTGTGAATTGGCAAATTGAAGTATATGAAGTCAAGTTATAGGTTGAACCTCTTCATTTGTCTGACCAGTATTGCTGCTTATAGTATTTATGATGTTAAGCTGTGACTACAACATAAAATGAACTATTTTTCACGGAAGAGATCAACCACAACCAACAATTCAAGCTACAATTCCCATCTGGTGATTGCTGTTACTTTTATAAATTCCTGCTATAGCTAGGTAATGTATTACATACCTTTTATTTTTAACAGGAAATCTTTGAGCTGTCACATAACGGTAGGAAATTTCTAGCAGAAGAAGTAACACGACATGAAACAGGGGGGAATGTTGTAATGAATTGCTCAACTTTCACTGACAACAAACATACATACTTGGTAGCTGGTCAAGAAAGCCATTGCCAACTGTATAATGTGAATAGTATATTAGTCAAGGAACAAAATGTAATAGAAAATGGAATTCATCCTGATCTTAAGCAGAGAAAAAATAAAGTAAAGGAGAAGACTGATGCTAATAAGAACTTACAGAAAAAGCTTAAGTTTGTCATCACCCCATCAGACAGTGTACAGACTGATTTTCAGCTGCCTGAGCCACTGTGTCGAGTAGTCAGGATACATCACAATGGAAAATTGTTAGCTACAGGTAATTAAAAATGCCAGATTTTAAAACTAGTAGAAAGTGGATTCAAAATTGTACACATCTTAATAAAAGGTAAAAATTAAGTACCAAATAAATTCACATTATACCAAAAGATCAAGTACTGGAAAAGAAAGGAATTAAATTGGTTTCACTGTCACTATTTTTATATTGAACTTTGAATGACTGTAACTTCTGGAGTTCTCTGGAAGTTGAAGGATTTTATGTCTGGAAAATGCTCAACATGACTTATAATATTAGATATAGCCATAAGGGTTGTTTCTACCCCTTCAAGGTGAATATGTGGCTGTTTGTGGAAAATGCAATGCAGTAGTAGGTTGAAAAATGGACAGAAAGATGGAGAAACATCTTGTAAATTTCATGTTTCTTATACTTTCACGTTCCTTTCTCTAACATTTCTGTCAAGTTTTGTAAGAACTTGCTGCACTGTTTTGCCCAAAAAGAGAGTGATTACAATAATTTTATAGGATCTTTGAACGCGAATATTGAATACAAACAATTACAAAAAACAGTCCTGTGTACATGCCTCTCAACACCAAATCCAATATCACGTCGACAGAATCGCGATTCGTCGCTGAAGATGACATTATGCCATTTTGCCTCCCAATGTCGCCGTGGTCTGCTCCAGTTCAAACGTTGACGACAGTGGTCCGCAGTCAGAGGAAGCACTAAAAGTCGACGTTATGAAAACAGTGCCATAGGGCTAGTTGTCCGAAGCGCCTATCTTGACGCTCAGCTGTCAGAAACTGCATTCTTCACAAAAACTAAGAGATAACATTTTAACAAAGGTAATCAAGAACAAAGATAAAACGTTGACATTGTTGCCGCAGCATGTTTTAAATATTGTCATTATGTTGCTATGTGGCTTGACAAACGCGAACTAAAATCTTTACATTTCCAAACGATATCTGCTATACACTCTCGCAGTGTACGATTTCGGTAATAGATGGCGCTTGTGTCTAAAGATGTTCACGAATTACAGTGTTGCCAATTTCCAAGCTAGCAGTAAATTACCATGCAGACCTGTATCTCTTTTTTTTATTAGGTGGTACCGATGGCAAAATCAAGCTGTGGAAGTTCCCTGGTCTCGAACCTTTAGCCACGCTGAAGGCCCACGAAAAAGAGGTAGACGACATAGATTTCAGTAAATATGACAACTATCTGTGTACAATAGCGAAAGATGGACAAGCCATAATATGGGATGCAGTTAAAGGCAAACAGTTGAGAAAATTGACCTGGAAACAACCCAACGGTTCAAAATACCTGTACAAAAGATGTCGATTTGGCGTTATGGAAGGGGAGAATCGAAAATGCGCCATATACACGCTAGCCAATCCTACAGGGTTGGCTAAGAGGCAGAAAGCGTACTTACAACAGTGGTAAGTTATTCTATTATAATACAGTATTTTTTTCCAGGGTAATGCCGTTAGATACTGTAGCGTTTTTCTGGATAAAACATTTATATACACCACTATTTATGTCTGACTAATTCTTATGCCACCATTGACTGCACTATTCCTCACTCCGCTCTGCTACTCTACCGTATTCCGTCTCCATCTCCCGGCTGCCGAGTTATATATAGTCCCAATTACCGCTTCGAGAAAAACCGGGTGTACCACAGAGCGACATCTAGAATGTTGGCGATCACTTCGCGTCGATCTAGAAGGCGTGACAGTTCACGGTCCTCACAGTCGCCGCCAGGCGGCTTGCGCGGCCGTGGTTCGCGTAAAAGCAGAGATCGGCAATTAAGCTCTGGCGAGTAGAAGACTCGCCCAACAGATGGCGCTATTTGTCACAATACCCAATCCAATTGCTTATGCTTGTTTGGGTGTCTCGGATTCTTGCACCAGGCGCGCTATGGGATCTTCTTTTACGTCATAGAGAAATTGTTTTATCTATTTCCGTAAATCATCTTTGGAATGGTTGAGGCGTGATTTCTCCTGATTTGATTGCTTATAACAACAACAAATTTAAGTGTTGGAGTCAGAGCTTGTATTTTTTCAATTTTGCATGGTGCATCTTGTATATTTTTCAAACAATTTCAGGTTACCTGAAGATGGATTGTTGAAAAAGGTAGCAGAATTTGATGAAAGTGTTTCTGCGTTGGCTGTGAGAGATGATGGTAGATTTTTAGCTGTAGGTACTATGTTCAGTGGATCTGTCTCTATATATGCCGCTTTTAGCTTGCAGGTTTGTTCAAAAGAATTTATTATATCAAATATAAGCCCTTCTAGAAAATGGAAAAATATAGAACTATTACGTAATTTGGTGGTCTTTTTTTTTTAATTCTTTTGACAATGTCGATGATTGAGGTGAACTGATGACTATTGACGATCACAACAAAGCATCGTAATAAAAAAAACTTATAAAAAATGGAATTCTCAATTGAAAATGACCGTCAAAAGATCGGGAAGCCGAATTTACGTTTTTTTTTTTTTATTGTAGAGGATACTGAACGTCCCAGGTGCACATTCCATGTTTGTGACTGGTCTGGAATTCTTGCCGGCATCACAAGAAAACGAGAATCACACAGTGTGCAGCGTTGCCGAGGCTGCAGTTTTATCTATTTCCGTAGATAATCAAGTCTGCATTCACACCTTGCCTTATAGAAGTATGTATTTATTCCGATTCAGATTATGCGTCAATCACTCAAAAATTAGTTTTTCTTCTCGATTAGTTCTTTCGAAACGAAATGATAGCCGCAAAGTCGATCTTCGAATCAAAAAAAGACGAAAAATATAACCAATACATATTTTTTGTTTCAGAAACGATGCCACTTTGGATTGGTCTAGTGATATTGATTTTTACGTTATTTTTGACTTTTGTATTTTGTTCTTATATAGATTTATAATTATGGAAGATAATTTATTGAATGTTGGATGGTATTTTGTATATATTAAGAAAAGAATAAACAATGAGATTAATCGCTTAATAGCTGTTTTATTATAAAAGGAGAACAGGAATGGACTCCAATAGAAGGAGACTACTTTTACCCGCAAAGGACGCTTTGTTTTGCAAAATCGCAAACGTTTCCTTTAATGAACCAAATCAAAGGAATCATTTCCCCTAAACAAAAACGGGGCTACTCTACAATAGATGGCACTGGATATCAGTAGCCACCACAAAGTCCACCATTTTGAATGACTACCTTGGGCTGCCGAAATCCGTACAGTAAGCCTCAATACACGCAAGGAGGAGGGCGCTTTGTTTTTCAACAAAGCTAAATCAATACGTAATATATAATACAATAAACTAATACAAACAAAATCTTTTTCATCAAAAAATGGGGGGATTTTCAACCCCCCTCACGGAAATTTAAGTTTCTTGATCTTTGAAGGTGCATCGCCGAAAACCCATCCCAAACCCCGACCAGCCACCCCTAAAGGATCTTTTTGACTAGTATAAATTTTGTGTGATCTGTGATAACAATTCACAAAGGAGCTCCATCTATGGGATGGTAGCCCAACTGAACGAATTTTTTTTGTCTAATTGAAAATGCACAGAAATAGCTTAAAATCATTTAAGGCATACCGATGAATATATTTTTGTATTCCGCTACTCTCCAGAGATGGCGCCGCATATCGGTAGCCACCGTTTTGAATGACTACCTTGAGCTGCTGAAATCCGTTCAGTAAGCTCCAGTTTTTTGGCTTGTATAGAAGTTGTGATATTGTCGGGTAGATTATATGCTGCTCTCGTTTTTTCGTATTTTTCGAGTGTTTTTAAAAATATTACCACTGTTTTTTAATCACACCCTGAATGGATAGTCATATGCAGGCATAAATAATTCTACGACTGAATTGATAATTATATTAAAATAATAAAATTACAGAACTATAATAGGATACAAATTACGATTGCTCTTCATTCAAACCCAGCAGAATGATAATTAATATAATAAAATCAGTAGAGATTACTGTACGCTCAAAGAATTCAAATAGATTAGAAGGAGCGACATTACATGGTTTGTCGCAAATAAAACCAGACTTTACAATTATTTCGGGAAAATTTGCTAATATGATATGATTAGACTAGTAGTTTCAGTGCATACTTTTGACTCATAAGGCCACCAATGCCTCCCAAGGCAACAGAGTTGTTTCAACAAAATATTAATACTTTACAGTGGAAACATCTACCTGCATTGAGCTGATGCCACTCTTTGCAAATTATGTAAGAACAGCGGAATTGAAATCGTCTAACACCACAATTATCTGCAAAAACGCGCATTTTTAAAAAAAAGGATATTAATGACAGCTGTCAAAAAACTGACTTATGTCAACTGCACTATGATCCTCACTATACAGACTATGAGAATTAGGAGACAATTCTATCTAGTCAGAATTCGTTCCATACGGCAAAAATCTTCCACTTGTACAAGTAAATAATGTGGATGATATTGGTTCTACAGGGTGACAGGTAAATAGGTGTAAAACATGATGTGATAGTAGAGCTCCTTTGCTATAAAAATTAGTATATAATACCATACCCTATATTCAAAGGTTAAAAGTTATGGAAGATTTAATTTTTTTAAAAACAACCCAGATTACAGAGTAAAATAGTTGAGATAAAAAAAAGTTGGTGATTAAACATTCTTTTTTTGGTGGTTTCAGGTTATTTAAATAAATAATTCTGATAAATTAAAAAACATATGAAAACACTACTGAAAACGTATTTCTTTTCACTTAAATGTTAAATGAAAATTTTTATTTCAACTTTCACATTAAGAAGTCTTTTTTTCAAAAAAATCATAATAAAGAAAATGTACAAATAACTGCAAAAACTTCCTCGTTTCATTAGGTTTCTAAAATGGTATAATGTCATATCAGTAAGTAAACAAAAGAATAGTACTTTGCTAGAAAGGACCGCTAAGCGCATTTCATTGTACTGAGCAGGTAAACCGAGCCTTTCATGGTTCGACCCTCTTTGTTATTTTTTGTGCCCTGTGCCGTTATTCGGGTTTAAGTATTCGGAATCTGTCGTCGCTCCTCGGAAGCAAGCTCTGCGTGTGTTATGAATTGACACAGCTGACGGACCAAGGAAAGGGGACTAACGCTTAGGTTAGTTAGTATAATATCAACCTTTAACGCGATAGGACGTACTTTTACTTTTTTGATCAGTTTTAATAATGGCGAGTTACCGTAACGAAGAATACGCTGATATTCTGTTTTGTTATGGTTTAAGTGATGGAAATTCCGTTGAAGCCAGGCGAGAATACAAAAACCGTTTTCCGAAGCGGCGAATACCGAGTCATCGAGTATTTGCTTCTGTGTACCAACGCGTCAAGGAAAGTGGACAGGTTCATGAGAGACGTCATGATGCTGGTAGACCTCGGTTGTTTGACGACGAAGATCGAGAGGCAATACTGGAATGCTACGGCAGAGACCCGACGACGTCTACACGAGTTATAGCAAAGCAGCTTGGTTTAACTCAGTGGAAAGTTTGGTTCGTTTTTCATTCGGCGAGACTTTACCCTTTCCATTACACACCGGTTCAAGTATTAGAAGAAGGAGATCCCGCAAGAAGAATTGATTTTTGTCGATACATGCTTCATCGGGATCAAGAAGAAAACGAATATTTAACTATGTGGACCGACGAGTCTAAGTTTGACAGAGAGGGGACAACAAATTATCACAACTTACATTATTGGGCCCCACGAGAGGCAAATCACCACATGGCAAAGCCAAGAGCCCATCAAAGATTTTCGGCAAACGTGTGGATGGTAATTATTGAGATCCGAACTCTGGGAGTATCTCGAAGACCTGCCTCTGAATATCAGGATGCAGATGATCTACCAAAACGATGGCTGCCCGGCGCATTTCCGTCTGGGTGTTAGACAGTGGCTGGTCGAGAAATATCCTTGTCGCTGGATTGGCCGAGGTGGACCGACACCGTGGCCAGCGAGGAGCCCAGATTTAACACCGTGTGACTATTATTTATGGGGGCACATGAAGTCACTGGTGTACGCTGAGCCCATAGACAAAGAATTATTGCTGCTGCTGAAACTATCAGAGGACAACTAACTGGCCGCATCACGCGTACCAACATGAGAAAAAGACTACGGGCTTGCATAAGAAACGGCGGGCGTCAGTTCGAACAACAATTGCAATGAATTTTACCTTCATTTCATTATTGTATTTTACTTACCAATTGTAGTAACTTTTAGTCAGTTTTTATTATTCTGTAGTACAATTGCAACTGTGTAAATAATCTAATCGTGTAACTTAACCGTAGTTTAAAATAATAACCATCCCATAGCTTACAGTTACATTATTTTCACAAAAACACTTTCTTATCAATCAGAGAGTTGTGAAATTAGGAGACAAGCCATTGGTAAATTTACTCCCTATTGTTGTATTACAATACATTATGTTTAGTTTCACACAGTTTTTGTGCACTTACCATACCAATTTAGATTCCTTATGAAACAAGGATATTATTTAAATTGTTTGTACGTTTTTTGTACACTGATTTTTTTGTAAAACACCTTACTTACTGTAAAACGTGATTTGTTTTTCTTAGTTAAACATTTTTGAATGAAAATAAATACGTTGTTTTCGAATCTTTTTTAATTTATAATAGTTAATTATTGAAATAATAACCCAAAACCACAAAAAACAAATGTTTAATCGCCAACTTTTTTCTCTCTCGACTTTTTTACTCTGAAATATGGATTGTTTTTAAAAAAATCTTAAATCTTCAATAACTTTTCAACCTTTGAATATAGGGTATGGTATTATATACTAATTTCGATAGCAAAGCTGTACTATCACCTCCTAAAATGTTTTACACCTATTTACCTGTCACCCTGTATACATGTCCCAAAAAGTATGGAAATATCAAAATATTTTGAAAAAACGGACGGTGTAAAAGATAAAGACTCGACCAGACAAACATTGAGGATCGTCAGCAAATTTCAGACGTTACATCGCTCTGTGAATATTACAACCCCATCAACAGAATCTGCGTGTTAACTGGCACGCTAGTCGGCGCCGACGCCTGCCTAACGCTCATCTCCCACGTATCCAACAACTGAGACACCGAAAAATGCTTCGGCAGCTTCTTGATCCTGGCTGACAACCCCGTTTGCACGGCAGACAAAAACTGGGTCGCGTTGTACTCGTGCGGGGCCATGTGGCAGATCGGCGACTTTTTCGGGTAGTCCTCGGGGACGATAAGGTAGACAGGCGGCACGCAGGGCAGGTGCTTGTCGTCCAGCCAACAGGTTAGTTGGATCGATTTGGAGCCCGGTTGTTGGTTGGGATCCAGTGAGACTTTGAAACGTTGGTCCAAGCGAGCGATCTCGCCTTGGAGCACGTCCGGGATGTCGCTGGTCGGTTCTTCGATTTTTTGTTTCTTCAGCGGCGGCACCAGTCTGAAATAAGGTGATAGTCTAAACGCTCGAAGTACAGTAATGGAGAAAAGTATGTAGACAAATTAATATTGTGCTGTATTTCTTTTTTAACTTGTTTTATTAATACACCAACCCACTTATACATAAATAAATTCAGTGTACTCCCTTCAATAAAATGTTTGCCTGTAAACGACATACATATATGGCATAAACCAACCTACATTTATCAATAAAAAAATTCGATTTCACCTCGTAAAAAGCGTGTTGACTGTTCAAATAGAAGCTATTAATTGATTACTCACTTAATTTCCGGACCGAAAAGCGCTTCCAAAGTAGGTCCGAAGGTCCTGTGCAGCGTATGGTTGATCACAGGACTTTGCAGATTGTTACTGACCGCGTCTAAGAGAGAGTGGAAGACATGTGGTTCCTTGAACGGTAGATGAGACGTAGTCGAAGTCGGGACACTGCTGTCGCCTCTCTTGAAGTCGATCTTTTCCAGGACGATCTCGCATTTTCTCAGCGTGTCCAGAGGCATACGCTGTTGCGGGTTTGATAAGATTTCCAGGAGTTTTTTCATCTTGCTCATTTTTTCAACGTCTGCAAGATGAGATGGAAAAGTCCAACGTATAAGTGAAGATTGGACGAAAAAATATTTAATTTATTGATTGTTACCAAGTTGGGAGGCTGTCTAATGTCTGCTGATGCTTTAGAGCATTGATTCCCAAAGTGGTCTATATCGACCCCTAGGGGTCTATGACAACCTGCAAGGGGTCTACGTCAGCGAAAAAAAATTTGGGGGTCTATGAAATTAATATGGGGGTCCACGATAGTGGATCTCAACACATACACTGATAGTACCTATTTACTTACATCATACTATCTTATAATATCAAAACGTATACATTATTTATAAAAGTACCTATGACGTAAAAAATTTATTATATATGTTTACAAAATTGTGTAAGTTGTAGGATGTTGGTATTCGCTTTGTGGTCGCAATACATTTTGAACTTGTGAAAACCTGAGAGTCGCAGTCTCAGAGCTTCGCTACCTTGCACTGACTTATTCAATTCGTCACTATATAAATACGAATGTGGGACAAATACGTTTATTCGTTTCCTGAATCTTGAAAAGGAAAGTGCTAACAAAATATTTTAAAAAATGTAAACAGATAGTATATCACACAAATTATAGTGAGTCAGTGTTATTTTGTTTGAGAGTGCTGGAGACAAGTAAGTATATTATTTTTTATTAAATTTTAGTTTTGTACTCGTAGTTAGCAAAGATAGATAAATTACGCCAATCATGACTTTAGTTATTAGTAGTTAAATATTCAATCATGCAAAATTACACGAGTACTCCTCAATAGTTTCTTTTTGAAAGTTTTAGCAATCGGTAATATAGTTACAGTGCAATCTCCGTAATTCGAGCTAATTGTTTGCAAGAAGATGTTCGAATTATGGAATTGTTTTCGGAAAATCAAAAAATATTTTAATATACAGCTGCTGGATTTTCTGTCTTATTTAAATAATTTAATTTTGCCCACAGATGACTGATGATGACCGAATCTAAAAAGAAGTGTAGACAGTAGTGTTTGATTATTTGAAATTTGGCTTCATTCCATCCTTGCCGGACAAACATCGCCTATCTGCCTTTTATGCAACAAAGTTTTGGACAATGACGCTATGAAAACCATCTAAACTGCAAGATCATCTGAGAAGATGCCATCCTGATAAAACAGAGAAAGATTTGAAATACTTTCAAACACTCAAAGATAAATTTCAGAAGAGACCTACATGGACAGAATGTTCGCTTCGACGTCACAAAGAAATGATGATGGTTTTGCGGGCGTCTTACATATCTCGTTACTTATAGCAAAATCTGGAAACCGCATACTATCGGAGAGAAGTTAATTTTGCCAGCCGTTGAGAGGTTCTAAAAACTGTTTTACACAAACCTGCATCTGATATCATTAAAAGAATTCCCTTAAACAACAATACTGTTGAAAGACGTATTGATGAAATGAGTTCTGATATTGAAAGCTTCTTATGTAATTATTTGCAAACGACCCATTTCTCTATACAACTGGACGAGTTAACTTTACCTGATAATGCAGCATTATTATTGGCATATGTTCGTTTTATTATGAATCAAGAAATCTACGAAGAACTGCTCTTCGCAAGAACGTTGATAACCGACACTAAAGGTGAATCAATATTTCATGTTTTGAAGGATTACTTCATTGAAAAAGCAATTCCTTTATCAAATATAATATCAGTAGCTACAGATGGAGCACCTGCCATGGATGGACGTTATCTTGGATTTATAAGCTATTTAAAACAAAATGTGTCAGGGGTGTTAGCAATACATTGCGTCATCCATCGACAACATTTAGTTGCTAAAAATTTGAGTGTTAGATTGCATGAATTACTTCATTTAGTCATTGATGCAGTAAACCGAATCCGAAGCAACGCGTTGAATACGCGGTTATTTGCACAGTTGTGTGAAGAAAACGACGAACACTTTCATCAATTACTCCTTCACACTGAAGTACGCTGGCTATCGAAAGGCTTATTTTTGATAAGATTTTTTGCACTTTTTGAGACTATTTTAGAATTTCTGGATACTAAAGATAAAATTTTAAAAGAAAATTTAATGAAGAGGATAACAGATTTGTTTACAAAATTTAATATGGTTAATTTGCAATTACAAGGCGACAGTTTAAATTTGATTAAAACAAAGTCCATCTTATCAGCGTTTCTTGCCAGAGTTAACTAATGAACCGAAATATTGGACGGCGCGAATTTTTTCAGTCCCCAATTTGTCACAGACAAGCTGCCAGGAAGACGACGTTTCAACTTACGTTCAACATTTAAATGCCCTCTATTCAGATTTTGAATCTAGGTTTGAGGATATTTTGACTATGGTAATACCACCGTGTATAATTAATCCAAATGGTGACATAGAAGAAACGAATGTCATAATACAAGAGGAACTGACTGAACTAAGTAGAAACGAAGAACTTAAGGTTCAGTTTAAAAACGGATATCAGCAATTCTGGCTGCAAAACAACATACCCGTATTATGGAATATCAGGTTCATCCTTCTCACTAAAAATATTGACTTATTGCTTATGTTATTTTATTTATAGTTTATTTTATGTTTATTGGTGTCTGACCAATAAATGCCCGCATTGGGAATAAGTGCCCGCATTGATTTTTTTAAAGAACCCCCCTTTATAGAAAATATGTTTTTCAAATTCAAATTCAAGGATAGGTACACAAATTTTTTGCCTATTTTTAGATAACTTAAACGTATAAGAAGCGGAATTTAACCAAACTAACAGTGAAATTATTGTAGAACATACGTTTATGTTATAATTAATAAACGAACTCGCTTATTGTACTATTTTAAGTAAAAAACTTTTTTTTTATTATTTTTCACTTTTTTTTATTTTATCCCTCTTATTTTTTTATCAATGCGGGCACTTATTGGTCAGACACCTGTTTATTTAATGTTACGTATATTTTACATAACAGATACAAAATTTTATTTTGAGTAGTTTTAATTTAAATTCAATTAATAAATGTATAAATTAACATGTGTTTTTACTTTAAGTTTTTAACACTAAACTGCACTACAGTTAGAAATTTACAGGAAATCAATTTCAGGTTTAGGGGGTCTACCCAACACGAAAAAACATGGCAAGGGGTCTACGACACAAAAAAGTTTGAGCAACTCTGCTTTAGAGAATAAAATAAAACGCATTATCTTCTGTCTTTTACCGTGGTACTTGTACAACAATTTGCAACGGTCTTATGATAGAAGAGTTTCATCGAACCTTTATTTTATTGCTTTTTTTCTGCGATTCACTCACCGTCATTGCCCATTTTGGTGATCATTTTCCTAAGCGGTTCGATATACTTGCTGAGCTGCCTCACCTTTTCCCTGTACGCCTGCTCGTCGGTCATGGCCCCCTGACCTCCAGGCGTACCTGCACCGGCCATCGGACTGTGACCGGTCTGACCGGCCGGGGTGTTGAGGGAGGAACTGCTTGGTGACGGAGCCATACCCACCTGTTAGATATTCGAAAGTGAAACTACTCTTCGGGAACGTTTGAAATTTAGATTAGCCACTTGGCAATTATAATTGTTTTCAAGTGAGTTTTTAGGCACACTAAAGGGTGTCTCAATAAGAACAACGGATTTGATTTTCAAGAAAAAAAAAACAATTTCTTTTCGGATTAAGCGAGTATTTATTTTTGAACGTGAAGAGGAACAGCTGCGATTAAACATAAAATACGACATCCGGTAAATGACCTCCACGAAACCTCCATTTTTGTAGCAAGTTTTCACAATAATTAAACGTGGTTCGACGTCTAATCGCGTGGTCTAGACATGACAGCTGTCATCAAGTAAACACCATACCATTTGTATTACACAGTCGAGCAACTTCGCAAACGTTCCAGGCCGCGCCTCGCACTGTGATCAAAATTAAATTGTAAATTCAGACCAGCCAAAATTATTTCAGTATACAAAACCGATCAAAATAATTCGAGTAGTCAAAGCAATAATGCTTAAGCTTTTCAGATGATTTACTTATTTTCTTTGCTCTATTTCGTCCTTCCTTTCTTTCCTTCTTTCCCTTTTCTCCTTAAACATGTTTGGTATCGACAGACTAACAGACCGACGAGACTTTTAACTAAGAGCAAAGGTCCACCGGACCGCTCTGACGAATAATGACGAATAGTACCATTTCAATCAATCAAATCCGCGCTCTTGTTGAGACACCCTTTATAAATCGCTAGTAACTCGAAAACGGAAGGTAACTAAGAAACTTTTTCGCTCAAAATGATCACAGATAAAAAAACATTATTTTAAAATTTGTCTAGATGAATATTTAAACGATTCATGTTAGGGTCATTCATCAAACCTGATTCTGAAAAAAAAATACAGCAGACGCTCGATAATGTAAACTAATTTAATCCAAGTGTGGTTCACATTATCGAAATGTTTACATTAGCGAACGTGATTTATATAATATTTGATTTATTAAAAGAAACGTTTAATACATACTATTTATAACAAAATAAACAAATATTCTAACAGCGATAAGTATCTTTTTAATTAGAAGAACAATAATTAACAATTTTTGTCTGCGTAAATTTGCGCTTAGCATTGTCTTCCGATGCCTGCGCCCGTAATTTACGAAGAACTAAAATATCCGTGTATGAAACTTCTTTTCTTTCAGCCCAATCTAAAGCTTGGTTAAAAACTTGTATAGCTTGCGCGTCAGTCACTACACTTCTGACTTCAATGGGATCGTTCTCATCATCCTCACTGTCCATACCGTCCTCCTTATCAGCATCATTCGTCTGCTTATCTTTGTTCCATAAATTAACATCAGCAGGAGTACAAACAATGTTGGGATTCACTGTTTTCAATAAATCAACAACATCCAATGACAGACTAATAACATTATCATTATTGGATCGCAAACGTTCTCTAATTACGCTTAAGGGGACATCGTCTTCTTCATCATCTTCATTATTGGTACAAAAGAGATTGTTCCAACATTTTTGAATAGTTTGCTGGTTAAGTTCATTCCAGGCCATATGTAAATCTAAAACAGCTTCTCGTAATGTTACATTCTTTAAAGCCTCAGATAAGTTTTCAGGATTCTTTGATAAGACAGACGAAAGTAGAAACTTCCTATAGTATAGTTTGGTGAGTCTTATTGTATTCTGGTCCATCGGTTGAATTAACGGTGTTTCGTTGGGCGGCATGTACATGACGAAAATTGATCCATCCCTGCTCCTCAGTTGTTGCTCGGGAGGATGACTTGGTGCATTATCCAATAGTAACAACGCTTTTATTGGAAGCTTCTGTTGTTTTAGGAAACCTTTTACCTACACATTGAAGACACATCTTCAAATTATGAATAGAGCATTTGTGATAATTGATTGTCATACCTGAGGGACAAAGCACCTGTGGAACCATTTCAGGAATATACTGCTAGTCATCCAAGCGGTTTTTGAACAGGGATATTAACATTTTTAAATGAGCGCGGATTTTTTGCTTTCCCAATTACCAGTGGCTTTATTTTGTGTGAACCATTAGCATTAGTGCAGGCTAGAAACGTTATTCGTTGTATCTCCGGCTTTCTTCCCGGGGCAGATTTTTCAAATGATGCAGCATAGGTTTTCTCTGGTAACATTTTCCAATAAAGGCCACTTTCATCTGCGTTGTAAATTTGTTCCATTCTTAAATTTAGTTCGGTAATTGTTTTCATCAATTTTTCTTTGAATGGTTGCACTAATTGTGGTTGTGCTGATATTTTTCACCAGCTATAGACAGCAGTCGAATTCCATATCTTGTTTTGAACCGTTGTGGCCAGCCATCACTAGCTACGAAATTTTCAGTTTCTTTCAGTTTTTCATTTAACAGTCTCGCTCTCTGTTTAAGTACTTCGCCACTAACTGGGACATGATTTTCCCGTTGTTTTAAAAACCACTTATACAGGGAATTTTCCATTTTAGGTGCCTTCGCATTTTTTAAAGTTTAGCTTTTTCCCGGACCTCCAAATGTATTGCACGTTCTTTGTAAAATTTGAGTTTTCATATGCTTAATTTTACAGATTGTTGCTTTCGATACTCCATATTTTTTGCTAACTGTGTCACTCCCGCACCTAGCGCAACTTCGTCTATGATTTTCACTTTCTCACTCAACTTTAAACACTTTCTTTTATAGGATGTGTATGCCATAGTCGTAAAATATACTAACGCGTGCAGTGTATTCACTTAAGTTCAAAAATGAAATACATACGTACGTATAAACGTATCCTAAACGATCATACGACTGACCGAGTTTGTCGTATTTTATCGCAGAGGTGAATCCCCTACACTCTACATCATAAATCGGGGACTCCCCGACGCAAATCATCGAGGCTTCAGCATTTTACCGTCGCGCTGTTTCGTGCGCCGAACGTTGTTTACGTTATCGAGCGTACACATTGTTTACGTTATCGAGCGTTCCGTTTGATCCCATAGAACGAAGTTTGTGTTTACATTAGCGCAAGTTTTCATTATCCCGTGTTTACGTTATCGAGCGTCTGCTGTATATTAAAAACAGAATCACTCACCGATCTGGGCTGCTGTCCGGCACCGCCTCCCCCTCCACCTGCGCCCATGCCCATTCCCGGCGACGGCGCCAGGGCCGGACTGGCCACGGGCGGCTGCCCGACTAACCCGCCGCTACCAGCCGGAGACTGCACCGACGGTGACGGAGACTGCTGGAACATCTGGGGGGGCCCTTGCGGTCCGCCGCCTTGAAACTTGGCCGCGCCCATCTGGTTCATCAGCATCTGCTGTTGGGGAGGCGGCGGTTTTTGCTGTTGCATCGGAGGCATGCCGCCTGGTGCATAAACGAGGAATTAGAAAAGGATCGTCTTTCACAAAGTTTGTGAAAAAGCCCCCGCACACACATTATGGAAAAACGTTTACTATCTAAGGCCATAATCAGAATCATCGTGTCAAATGACCCTAACGTCCTATGTGTTGAATTTCAGTCACTTGTGAAGGCCATCTGTCACGATACAAAATTTTATTTATAATTTGATGCAAAATTTCGTGAGATGAATGTGCATAGTTCCCTATTTGATTTCAAATTACCATCCTGTCTGTCACGTAAAGAAATTTCGTACGAAATTATGCGCAATCGGTGGAAAAAAACTATAACTGCCATTTGTATTGTAGCAAGTGTAGTGTTATGTGCTTTTACATTTGTGACGCCCTTTGTAATTGTAATTACATATAAAATGCCAAAATTGCAAACTTTGAGCTTTCAATGAAGAATCAAGTACTATAATACAAAAAATGTTGATGAAAGTTTGTAATGTATGTTTTAAAATATTTATAAATATGAATCGCCGAATTTTAAAAAATTCCCGTTTTCATATTCCAAATAAAGCTTAGAGACACTTTAGCATAATATATTGATGTTCAAAATTCGTTTCCCAAAATGGAGCCAGTATCGACAAATCTCAAAATATTTGCATTTCAAAACCAGCTAGAACTAACTCACCCATCATTTGATTCTGCATCTGATTCGCCATAGCTCCGGCCATCTGCATCTGACCGGGCATCTGTCCAGGCATCTGATTGGGCACTCCTCCCTGCATTTGATTGGCCAAATGGCCCGGCATTTGGTTGCCCATTTGGGCCATGCTGGCGTTCTGCATCTGCTGAAGACGGATCTGGTTTGCTACCTGGCTCACCATCTGGTTGCCGCCCATTGGGCTGCCATTTGGGGGCATGCCGATATTTTGAGGGTCCTTAGAAATAGAACTTTTTTAGATTCAAGATTGCAGATTCGCCCATTTCAGAAACTTGAAAATATTTCACAGGTTTTTCTCTTGTCCTTTAAGTAAATAATTTCATTAACAATCGTCATTATGAGAAAGTATAGTCAGGAGAAATAGTGGGACGCTATTTTACATCTTTTATACAATTCTATGAATTTAACAACTTACCTGCATGCCAGGCATATTACCCGGCATATTCCCCATCATCAACTGTTGTCCAGGTCCCCGATTGATCGTCTGTAACAAGTTGGCGTTCGGGGCCTGTTGGGGGCCTCCCATCTGCCCTGGCTGGGGCCCCATGTTCATCATGGGGTTGCGGGTGCCTTGGCTCGCTAGATTCTGTAAGGCGTTGATGGGATCAGGCATCCCAGGAGCACCTTGACCCTGCCCAGGTACTGGCATCCCTCCAGCTTGTTTGGGCTCTGCATTGTGAATTATCACAGTGTCAAAGATCGATTTTTTTCAATTGTATGCAGATTGTCCCAAAAATTATAGTATCATGTAGGAAAACAAATAATAAACACTTATGAATGTCATTAGATTATTGAGATTTTCAAGGTTTTGAATTTTTTCATAGTCATAGTTCATAGATAAAATGAATAATGACTTTTTCTATTAGGCTAAGAAGTAAATTTAACTGATATAGACGAGGGATTGCTTTTTACTTTAATGTTGCTTGCAAGGACACCTCCTTTAAACTCTCATACAATTTGCATTGTATTAACTCTCTCTTTGACGGACATTATCTTGAACGGACGCGGACACGAGAAAATGTTCTCTTAATCGGACAAAATATAAAGAAACGCCTCGTCTTATTTTATTTTCTGTTGAGAGTATTGCTATTGCATAAAAAACATTATTTTATAATAGTTCATGTTCTGACAGCAATATTATTCTTTATTTAATTCAGGGTTAGAAAGTTGTCCAAAATATTGGCAACCCAGAAATTTGTGAAGGATTATTGACAGTTCTGGATACCAAATGATATCTATGACTTTGATCACATAACAGATCATTAATATCCTGAGTATACCCACAAAATGAGCAAAAAACTGTGGTAGTAAAGTTCTATTAACACACTAAACACATTTCATATATAGATGTACAAGCTTAATCATGCTGACTAAGGCTACAATAAATAGACTCATGAAGATTCTTATCAGCATCTCTAGCTGCTTTGAGCACTTGCGACAGAGGAAAGCTTTTTACTAATCTTGGTGGATTCTGACTCAAAACCTTGTCCAAAACTCCATCCAGTGATTCATCGGCAGTATTTTTAGCTAAAAAGTATTTAAACTATCAGGTATAACCCTCAAATGAAAATTCATCACCTGTATAAAAACAATTATGATTATTTATAACAATAATTTAAATAAAAATAAGACAAATACTGATTATACAATAATCTTTTGTCACTGTGCATAGAACAAGTGTTTTTTACATTCTGTACAAGTATCAGCCCTTGAAGAGTGAAAATTATGCATAAAACAATGCCAAATGTGCAAATTCAAGAGCCGACTCCATACTCAGGAGGGCCCATGTCACTGAGAACCATGAAATACAGGCAGACTATTTTGGAGTTGAGATTTTTGGAGATCCATCATTTATTGCTATGGCAGATGCTATTAGACATGCTTACAAAGTATTGTTACTTACTCATTTCCCTTACATGAAGAATGAGTCTAGCGACAAAACCAAGGTACTCTTCCTTATTCTTAGCCTTCTGGAAGACGTGACTCTCCATTTCCAGGCTATTCCTGGACGTGTTCATGCCAGAAGAACGTATGGCTTCATCACTGGAAAGTGGATAAATATTAGACAGGTACAGAAGAAAATGAACACTATTACATTTTAGCAACAACACTCTGCCGAAAAGCACTCGTCCTCCAAGAGTTTTCGTCCGCCATCCCCCTGGATTTTTTTGAAGCCTGAACTGTTATGAAAACCGTAAATGATGATAATTTGTTTTCAATTGATAATTGATGTCATATTGATGTTTTGACTGAGCTGACTGTCAATCATGGAACATAAAGTTTGAGATACTTGACAGATGCTATTTGACTCTCAAATCTTAAGCCAATTAGCCCAACGCTTTTACACCGTTGCCACAGCCTATATGAATTCTCTAGTTTACAAACTTATGGCACACCACACCATAACAATATAGGTTACTCAGGAGCACATAAACCATGAGGTCCCAACTAACAATTATCACTCCTATTAGAGTTGCAAGAATGATTATACAGTATTCCTCAAACAGCATTGTATACTGAAAAAACATTGGCAAAACCCTCTTAGAACAGCTATATAAGCGGAATGGGCACACCTAATAGGACACTTCAGTCATTTAAGAGGTTAAATAAGGGCTGCAGGTAACAGTTATAAAACAAAAGTGTAAGCCTCTTGCAGCCGCTATAGGACATTTGCGTCAGTGCAAGATTCAGTTTTTGTCAACTATACAACTATTCTGTTACGTGATTCTATTTTATTGCAACCAAACTATTTCTTATGTATTGTATTGACGAAGTGAAGAATATATAACTAACACATTACAGTCATCTTGTTTACTTATATATCGGCCATTGTGAATTTCATACACAGGTATATGATAAACTTCTACACTGTGATATAGGGCTATTGAATTACTTGCGCAGCAAATTTTATTGCGATTATCGTGCAGATTAGTTACCCAATTTCTACGGGCTTCGTATTTGATTCATATTTTGACAATGATCAAAAGTATGTCTAGATTTTTAAGATGGAAAACTGAACTTATCTGCGTTAAATCTTCCACAAATCCTATATTTAGACACAATTACACTAATGTTTATCACTTTATATCTGTAATTTCGAACTGAAACATAATTATTTAATATTAAATAGAGGAATAAATGTTTGCCCAATATGGCGGGTGGTTGTGTACAATCATGGCGTCCATGTTGTCTTTAGGTTATTAGAATATTTTGGTATTGCCTGCAGGTGTTATACAACAATTTGACAAATGTCTGAAATGAAATACCAACAGAGTCGAATGATTTTCCCAGAATTTGTACCAGATCTATATCTTCTGTTTGAACAGTTGATAAAACCTTTTGAACCAATATGCATGCGTTGTTTGTCTTAAAACATTGATTATGGCATTTTACAAAAATATGACAGCAGAAAGTTAGGTTATGGTGAAGTTGTTTACAAACATATTTAGCATATGTACAGCCTTAAACAGTTACTAAACAACAGTTGCAAAAGTGCTTCCGTTGGGAGCACTTTGTTGGCTAAAGTAGTAAATTGCACAGCAAAACAACAAGGCTCGGGTTTGTTTTATAAACATTACCATGGATGCCACAACACAACCATGTTGACTAACTTGCAAATATGCCGTATAAAATAGTTGCATAAACGTTTATGCAACAGTTAAAGGTTTGCCCTATAAGGTGTTGTATAACTATGCTATAAGAATATTTTAAACACTTCATTTTAGATCAAATATGTTGCAGAAAGCAAATCTGCATTCCACACAACATTAAGCCAGCATTTTGGTGTTCAGTTAACAACAATAGAGAGCTTTTATGGCTGAACGGTTCTTTTACCAAAAGCTTATACCACTACTTTGCTAGTTGGGATGTATGTGGATATTTTGTAACAGAGATATTATTATCATAGCACTTTATAATGACGTCGCACGTTTCGCTGGTTTCACGAAGTAACTACATATACCCTATTTCACGAGTATTATTCACGGTAGAATGACAGCTGATTATCTAGTAATATCTCAAAATTCCCCATATCGGCACAGGACACATAATTCTAACGGATCTGTCAACGCCAGGTAATCGGAGCCGTATTTTGTTTTGGTTTTTTGTACAGATTCATTTAGTAGTTGCTAAAAGTTCTTATTTAGGAAAGTTCATTTGCATACAAAAATCAAAACGTCGCAAACAAGTTTTACAAGATTTATACCCGATTCATTATTGCCAACGTTGCAGACTAACACAAAAATGTCACTTATTGATCAGCTGTTCACCGCAGTAGATATCAAGGCGTGATGGATACTTGTGGAATAGGACATACTGAAATGTAGTATAAACTTTTCTGTTTTTATTTCCTAAACAAAATTCTAAACTTTGGATTATAAATACTATCATTTATTGTGTAAATAGCAATCAACTCATAAACATGTATGCAGGATGAGGGGTAAGGTTTACGTTAAAAATGGCTACAATTAAAAGTATCTGTATTTTTCACCTTTTCTTTTACATAGTGACTGTACTATTAAGGACAATAAGGATTTTTGAAATTGAACTTGGCAACGCTGCTGTACACGTTGGGCTAAATAATATTTTCTACGTGCTCCTTTCTCTTGACTTGTTCCGTGTCAAAATCATATTTCAACTGTCAACCTATAATAAAATGGGTGTGTTTGTAAACAGTTATGTTTTTAATTAAAGAACAAGGTTGATCCAACAAATTTCACTATATTATGCCATGCTAGAGTTCACGTAAAGGCAATCATGTCTCTAAAAAGTGCCGCTGAAAACTACTTTAGCTCTATAAACCCAATAGCGTCCCGCCTATACAGTGATTTGAATGAAATAAAATCTTCCTATGAAGACCTGTGGAACACCCTTCCCGAGAAGGAGCAGCAAGAAATCCTTACTGATAGCATCATCAAACCAGAAATATCAATAAAATACCTCAAAAAAGAGGAAAAACCACGTACTGATTATGCTGTTAATTTCATACACGACGGGACTTGTTCATACAGAGACGAACATTCAGGGCCTTTTAGTTTCAAAACTAGGAGCCAAAGGGATCTTAGACTGTTCCACCCTGAAGAAAAACCAACTTCCAAGCCAGAAGCAATGAGTAAAGCCAAAGCTAAGTCAAAGGTATGACCTAATATAGCCATGGAGTGAGACAATATTTAACACTATGATTCACCCTAGCACATACTGAAGGATAACAGTAAATACCGCTTCTTAAAATTGATATGTTCTTCAAGAGCAATTTTTTTTCCAGCCGTTTTCTGCGACCTATCAGGATGTGAAGTCGGAAGCCTTCGCTGAAGTCACAGAGGTGAACAAAAATACAAATTCCTTGCCAAAAACAGGTTTAGATTTTTTGGATAATTGGTAAAGTTGAGGCTCTCTTGTTTAAGCTCATTATCTATCTGATTCTCATTATTCAAAGCTTTATATGATACATTTATTTATTGTTATACTCATGTTAGATACATAACTTGTAATTGAAGTGTACTTGGGACAAATATTTAAACCACACTTTAGATAGTTTGTGTTGTTAAATCAAATAAAATACATAAATATAATAAAAATAGATCTGAAACTCTTCATTTTTGAATCTGATGTTTTGGTTTTGTGCATGGTTTATTTTGTCTAGTGCACTTCAACTGAAACCAAAAATAAATAATGTAATTTTAATAATTTTGTTTGCTGTACTATGTGTGGAAAATTATTTCAGTAGGAAGGCAGATTTTTATGTATTTAGAAATATAAGTCTGAATATGATTTTTCCCTTTTATACTTTGTCTAAAAAAATTATGAAATAAACCAGTTAAACAGGAGAAGATCTTGCATCTGTGCCTTGCATATAGTCTTCTATCCAAAAATAGTCAAATTCTCGAAAAAGTTTTTTGACTAAAATCAACCATTCACCATGATTGACCCTGTGGTTGTGCCGTTTAAGCATATACAGAGTGGCCCAACGAAACGGTCGCACCCCATTTCCTGGTATATTTTAGGAAAAACAGGGTGTTTTAGTTTATTGTTGCATAACTTTAAGATTCGATAGAACTTTTAAAATTAATGCATAAAGTCTATATAAACATGGGTCGAAAAATGCGTGGCTTCCGAAATACGTTTAAAAACACAATCTAAATGATGATCTTAATTACTTGTAATGCCTAAATCGAAAATGTAAAAAAAATATTATTTTCCCTTAAATAATTAAAAATGCATCGAACCTTAAAAATCGAAATATCTCAAAAACGGCTAACTATAACGAAAATTCACAAGAGAGCTTTTTTATGTTGAAAAGTGCGAAGAATCAGTTTTTTATTCAAAAACAACAAAAAATTGTACTAAGAAAATTTTTTCGGTCATTTTAATACACTACAGGTACAGTAGAGAGCGCCCTCTAGCGGCTACAGTAAAACTATGCCCATGGTTCGTTTTGTCGTACCAAAAAACCCTTGTATACCAATTTTCACTGTTATACATCAAATATTGTTCGAAATATTTTAAAAAAACTATTTTAGAAAGTAAATTTAAACACCCTGTATTTCGGAAGCCACGCATTTTTCGACCCACGTTTATATAGACTTTATGCATTAATTTTAAAAGTTCTATCGAATCTTAAAGTTATGCAACAATAAACTGAAACACCCTGTATTTTTAAATAGAAACCGCCATTTATCGTTGTGACGATATTTGATTTTATAATAAAATTCGACTAACTTAATACCGATAATAACAGAAATACCAGCAAGAAGATTTAGCATCAGTCAGTGTGTCATCATATGTCATAGAAAAACTTTGTCTTTTATTTCAAATTGTCAAGTTACCTGCCTAGTTGTGATAAACATTGAACAATGACTTATTCAATTCAAGAAAGGGTAGAGATAACAAAACTGTTACCAAAATGGGAGCATTGCAATAGCTACTAGATCTGTGTTTAATATTCGCCGTAATCGCCATCTGGAAAATCGATCAGTTAGAAATGAGGCCACAGAAATAGTAGTTTTGGAACACGTAGAACTTGACAACACCCAAGGCACTCGTGGACTGGTTACTTCAGCATTTACACGCTCAACAGTACGAAGAATTTTGGAAGATAATAAATTTCACCCGTACAAGATAAAACTTGTCCATCAGCTCAATGAAGACGATTTTGATAGAAGGTTGGAGTTTTGCAAATTATTGTCTCAACGTTTAATAAACAATGCAAATCTGTTATTTAATATTTGTTTCTCGGATGAGTGTTCGTTCTCCCTTATTATCACAATTTCTAGAATTTTATTATTATTAACTCAAATAGCTTCACAACAATTGAAGATAGGTATAAACTTTAATGTCACTGCAAACTTCATGGAGAATCTAAAAGTTAAAAAAATGCGAGTTTCAATTTAAAAACCTCAACTGTAACACAAAACCTTATTTTTGGATCACCCTGTATTGTGCGGCTATAGCTGAAAAGACGTCCTAGAAATCAAAATTGACCTGACCGAGCGTTTTTCCTAAAAAATACCACGAGAGTCACGAATGGGAGTGCGACCATTTCATTGGGCCACCCTGTATGCGTACCTACGTCAAAGTCACCATGCTCCATTTTGATGTACCTACTGATAAGCAGTCTGATTTGGCGGAGATACCGCTTATCTGATTGGACATTGGACCCGGACTAGAATCCAGTAACCCCAACGTTTCATAATACCTAGCACCCAATAATGAGCGACCCAAGTTTCGTAATCTCTCGTAGTAGTAGGATGGTGAACCGTTTTTAAGGTGGTAGTAAAATCAATCACCCACGTGGTGTGACGTAAGCAGCCAGCCAATAGTGTGGCAGCGATTTTGCGCGCTACTCGATCGTCAGCAACGTTGCCGCTTCTGTAGGCGATCCGCGGGTTCATTGATCGAGCTACGAGCGCGTTGGGCGGCCCACATGGGCGTGGGTGTGCATTTTTTTGAGAAGGTTCGGAAACTAATCAGGGTGTCCCAAAAATAACACGAAAGAGTCACACGGGAGGTAGATTGGATTCAGATCATTAGATAAAATCAACGTGACTTTAGTAAAAGTTTTCTAGTTTGCGAGATATTGCCACTTTTAGGTTTATTCAAAAAATCACTTGCTGCTTTTTTGCCTGTTATGACTATTAAGAACTTATGAGTTTTTTCCTGGACTACCATTAATAGTTGGTTGAGAGATCATTTCATTGAAAACTAGCACGGTATGCTAAAAAAATTAATACATTTTGTTTCAATGTGAAAACCTCTACTAAAGTTTTACTGATTACTGTGTAAAAATGTACCAGACTGAGTCGGCAAATGATCTTAAAAACGAGCCTACTTGATGCTCTTTTAAAAATAGTATACCATTTGTACGAGGGATGTCTTTTAAGTTTTGCATATAGAAACAGTAGGCCGCGCGGATCGAACGTCAGTACTGAATCTTAACCTCACTCTTTAGTAAACCTAAATTCAAAGTTTCACAACAATACGTGCAGTGTTCTCACTACAGTGAATTTTTAAGTGTTACCAAGTCATTAGAAAAATGAAACTCAACCGAGAACATTTTCGCGCCATAATTTATTACTACCTTCAGAGACAATTATCGCAACAAGAATGCCTTGCTGAGTTACTGTCTGTTTTCGGCAACGAAGCGCCGCATCAGCCGACAATTTCCCGTTGCTATGGAGAATTCAAACGTGGACGGGTGAGTCTTAGCGACGATCCCAGGGTGGGTGCACCAAAAATGGCAGTCACCCAGGAAAACGTCGATGCTGTGCGCAAACTCATCATTGAAGATAGACATGTGACATATCGCGAGATTGAGGCGTCCTTGAAGATCTCAAAGATTTCAATTCAAAAAATTTTACATGAAGAATTATGAGTAAGACAACTAGTTTCTAGTTGGATACCCCACCTGTTGACTGAAGAGCAGAAAGCAGCCAGGGTTAATTGGTGTCAAAAAACGCTTGACCGTTTTAATTCCGGAAACTCAAAAAATGTGTACGGCATTGTTAGTAGTGATGAATCGTGGATTCACTGTTATGAACCAGAAAATAAACGACAGTCGGCTGTTTGCATGTTCCAAGGTGAAGAAAAGTCAACAAAAGTCATCCGTTCTCGAAGTGTTTCGAAAAAGATAGTCGCGACATTTGTATCCACAGCGGGTCATATTGTAACAGTTCCTCTTAATGAGCAAAGAACTGTTACTGCGGATTGGTATACCACCATTTGTTTGCCAAAAGTCATCACCGAACTTCAAAAAATCAACCCCGAACGAAGAATCATCCTCTACCAAGACAATGCAAGCTCGCACACAGCCCAAAAAACAAGGCAGTATTTAACGGAAGAAAAGTGGAATTATTGGACCATCCTCCATATAGTTTCGATCTAAATCCTAACGATTTCTTTACTTTCCCGAAAAATAAAAACAGACTGGGTGGTGAAAGGTTCCAATCACCAGAAGAAGCAGTTGGCGCATTTAAAAACGCCGTTTTGGATCTGCCAGCAAACGAGTGGAATGAGTGCTTCGAAATTGGTTCGAGTGCATGCAGATGTGTATTAATCTTCGTGGAGAATACTTCGAAAAACAATAAAGTCATTTAAAACTACCTACCGTGTTGTTTTATTTCCATATGCAAAACTTAAAAGGTTCTTCCTAGGTAGTAAACATTGGATAATTCCAAGTTTATTCATTGCGAAATACTACAAATAAACAATCTGCAGCCGTCTTTTGTATCCAAATCAATAAGTAATGGAACGACCTAAAAATGTCATTGACTATCTCGCTCTCATATTGATTGTTTGGTCGGTAGAATTATGTAACCTCGAAGAACAGAGGTGGTACCTGGGCACCGCAAGCGCAGGGTTAATTTAATACTGCTCGTGTTATTTAGCTCTTTCGCTGTTCAGGTCGTTTCATTCCTTAGTGATTTGGATACATAAGACTGCTGCACTTATTTTTTATTTATAGTATTTCTCAAGTATTACGACATCAATGACAAAACTTGCAATTATTCAATTTTTAGTGCGAAGAACCTACAAATGTTGTACTATTTTGTAAAAGAGCATTAAATAGGCTACTTTATAGGATCATTTGCCGATTCAGTCCGGTACATTTTTTTCACTGTAATTAGTCAAACTTTAGTAAAGGTTTTCACATTGAAACAAAATGAATTAATTTTTTCCAGCATACCGTGCCAGTTTTCAATGAACTGAATACTCGGCTATCTCAACCAACTATTAATGGTAGCCCAGGAAAAACTCATGAGTTAGAAGTTCTTAAAAGCCATAACAGGCAAAAATGGAGGAAAAAGTAGCGATTTTTTGAAAAAAACCTAAAAGTGGCAATATCTCGAAAACTAGAAAACTTTTATTAGGGTCATGTTGATTTTACCTGATTGATCTGAAGCCAATTTACCTTCCGAATCACTCTGGCGTGTTATTTCTGGGACACCCTGTATGTTAAATTAAATTTTGTTTTGTAATTACTATTTTACCTTCAATAAAAATTTAAAGAGGTGTCTGACGCGGAATTCGATTTGGTACCGAGGCTGAAACCCATACCCTCTACCGGACGCCTATGTTCGGTTACACCACAAATTTCTCCAAACCTCTCGCCAGACGTCGACCATTTGGCAACGCCGCTTCGGTGTCACGCCGTTCTGTTTTGACTGGAAATCGGTGCGTTTACACTCAGTTCCGCCGACGTTTCCGAGTGGTGTTTATGCACGCCGTGTTTGTGTTTTACGTATTTACTAGACAGGAAGCAACGTTCTCGCACATTTTCTA